AGGTAACTGAAGGTTTCATCACATTCCAATGAAATCCGTCATGTGCTGTAATTCAGAAACTGTTGTGAATTGACAATTTGGTAATTTAGTAAGTTATCTTTATTTGTCTCAGGAATACACCCCCTGAATTATGAAAGGTATTTATGGAACACCCTGTACAGTATATTGTTCTCACTATTGATCTTTTTTTTTATTTATGGTCCTTTATTATTATCATTATTACCATCATCATCATTATTAATATTATTATATTATTATTTAATATTTTGTATATTTCTTATGTATTTTTATTAACTTATTAATTATTATTATTAGAATTAGTGTATAATATTTTCACCCTCAGGTCCTGGTGTGGGTCATTGACCTATGCCCTGGTGGTCTAATCCCGTAAAAAAAATAATAATAAAAAAAAAAAAAATAAATAAATAAATAAATACAAATTAAAAATGTGCTCACTGCTCCCTAAGCAGGCTTGGGTCAGGTGTCATCCCACTTGGATGATTACTATAGGAATATATTATGAAATAGATTAAAATAAGTGAATTATAGAAATAAAATATGAATTACAGTATACAGTATCAAGATATAAAACTACGCTTGGGTGCGTAGCCAGAGAGAGGAGGTGGCAGAGGAGGGAGGGAGTGCTGGCTAGACTGAGAAGACAACTTGCCTCCTGTGATTTCACAATAATTCCCATATTATGCAGGTTCATTTAGTGCCAGGTTAACATAACCATTATTGGAAACAAAATCACCCCCAAAAATCCCACACTCGATCCCAGATGTGCTATTGCACTATAGTAATTTTCAGTCTCTTGTTTACAAAGTGAAAACAGCCGATTGTTCCTGCTCTCCCTCTAGCACCAATGTTGTCATTGCTCAAGGGGGTTGGTACTTACCACAGGATCTGGCTTGAACACTTAGTAAATAATATTGTAGTGTATTTATCAGAACTTAATAAATATTATTGTGGTGTATAATGCGACTCAATATGCCCTGTATTATTCACTGATCAGCTAAGTGCAAAAGTAGCCAAACTGATCCATCATGTACTGTATTAATTAACTTTAAAATAGAAATGAGAAATTATAATGTAATAAAACAATGCTTTAGTATTTCTGCAGTTAATGTGTGTGATGTATAAGTTCCTTGTCACATCACCTCTCGTCCTGACACCATACCCCTCGCCTCGTCAGCTCACCTCAACCCTCACCTCGTAGTTACATTTATTTATTACTGTATTAGTATTTACGTTATTATTACTGTATGTATATTAAAAACATTTTGCACAATTATTATAAATAGATTCTTTTATGTGGCAACCTGGGCATGGCAAGGTGCAAAAACTGAAAGAGAGCAAAGGCAGATCCAGGAATATAAAAAAGGGGGGGTCCAAGAAGTTGTGAAAGGGGAACATGGCGAGCCCATCCAGCTGACCAATATCTTGGGCATTTTGAGGTCCTTTTGAAGCCATGTGCACTTGATATTAACACATATTCTGAGGATTATTGAAATTACTTTTTACTACAAAAAAAATACCCGAGTGCATAACTACATTAAAGAAAAAGTATTGGAATTTTCTGATGAAAAGGGGAGTCCGGACCCCCAGAAAACAAACGAATAATTGAAAAAAAAATTAGGAAATTGTTGAATATAAAAATATTCTGAACGTGGTTAATTTGGATTTTTCGGTAATTCAAGTGATCCAGAACACCTTTTTTGTTGAATTAATGAGGGCTTGGTGTAATTCAAATGATAAATTTTTACTGATGCAGAAATCACTTACATAGCTCAATCGTTTGATTCTTTGGTAAAACTTACATGTAACATAAATTGGAATCATGCTTGAAAACTTCTATGCAAGGAAAGCTGATTACCTTCCAATAATGATCCATTTCTGTCATCCCTCAATACCAATACAGCATTCGACCAAATGTGCAAATAGTGATTTCAACATTTGAAACTATCTGTCCTTAGCAAAACTTCAATAATGCATTAAAGAAAACTAGATTGAACCTTATCTGCTATGCCATCTATGGTGATAAAAAATACCGAGATAGGTATCATAAGTTGCTCTGCTAATTTACTGCAAAACCTTTCACAACAGACATCAGTAAGTATCCTTAACCAGTGGTTGATTCTAATCTACTGAGCAAGTTATGCCATCTTTAAGAAGCTTTAAGCAACTGCCGACACATGTAAACCTTAACCAATACTTCAGAATGATTAAAAGGTTGGTGACGATGACCTTCCACTCTTAAAAGTTTTTCAGGCTGTCTTTACCAATCTTCCTGGAGTTTGTATCTCTCCAGGAACCCAGCCCAGGCCCTCCTAATATCTGTTTTACCCTTTAATAATTTCTACCATTATCCACCTCATCCCTAATCATAAGGTCAAAGGAACTAATTTTTCTTCTATTAATTTCCAGAATTTTTGTCACTGCTCACTAATAACTGTATAACTTTGTTCATTAAAAATTATGAATAGATATAATGATGGAGATAGCACACAGCTTTATGTAAATGAAGAGGTTACAATGGGATAAAATTTGCCACAATACTGTTTTTGAAAACATGTACTGTATGTGTGTATAGAAGATATCTGTAATGTCTCTATTGGCCTAAAAATCAAAGTCATCCCAACTGAATAAAATGAGAAGTTATAATGAGAGATAACTCCCCAGGAGGTTCAAACTTGGCATTACACCTGATTTATAAGTAACAGATACAGGTTGTACCTCTCTAGTCCGGCATCCTGTGGTCCGGAAACTCCCGTGGTCCGGAACGATTTTAGTTTGTCCAATAGGTAGATAGGCAGTTTTTTTTTCTTTTTTTTTTTTACTTATCTGAATTATTATTATTATTACAGGAGTATTAAATTTTTGCCCCTCAGGCCCCAATGTGGGTCAGTGACCTATGCCCGGGTGGGCTAATCCCCTTAAAAAAAAAAAAGCTGCGGGAAATTAAGGTTTGTTTACATCCGGCAGTTCGGCTGCTCTCTCTCTCTCTGCTTGTCTATACAGAGTACAACATTTAACCCTTCAATATATATGAGCAGTAAATAAGTGTTGCTTTCATATTCTTATGTAGAGCAATGACGATATATTTCCACATGTGCGCACTTACATATGAGCAGTCTCACTTTTTTTTTTACCATTAATGGTTAGCTACTTATATTGTTCCATTTATTAACATTAAATAACATTACAGGTACTTCAAGCAACCATATTCATTTTTTACATTAATTTTACTACAGCTAAACTCAGGGTCTTATTTTCTTCAGTTTTATATGTAGAACCAATCAGTCACTGGTTTCATAAGCTTTAACATAAACAATGCCGGCAGCCGTCTCGTCTCCTCTAATATTCCACGTATTATTAATAAATTGTATTGTTAATTTTGCACACACGTACATTGATTCAGTAAAAACAAATTCAGAAACATTAATTAAAATATATATGAACAGTAAATAAGTGTTGCTTTCATATTCTTATGTAAAGTAATGGCGATATGTTTTCACGTGTGCGCATGCGCACTTACATATGCGATCTCTCTTTTTCTTTACCATTATCGTTAGCTAGTTCTATTGTTCCATTTATTAACATTAAATAACATTAATTAAAACAACCATATTAATTTTACTATAGCTACAACCAAGGTCTTATTTTCTTCAGTTTTATATGTAGAACCAGTCCGTCACTGGTTTTGTAATCAACGAAAAAAATGCTGTGTCGTTTCCTCGTGTGTTTTAATATTCTACGTATTATTAATGAATTCTATTGCTCATTTTGCACACATAAACATTAATTCAATAAAAAAGACATTCAGTAATAAACAACAATGAATCTTTTGTACATAAGAGAAATGACGCTGTTTACACGATTATGCACGTCGTCTGCACGTTGGCGGGCCGTTCAAACCCGTCGAAATTCAAGTTTCCGCCGTCAAAATTTTTATTTATTTATTTTTTTGTGTGTTCCAATAAAATACGTTAAGAATTAAAAACTCGCGAAATTTGAGAAGCTACTATACGACATTTAACCCTTCAATATGTCTTCAAAGAGACCATGATGCAGAGAAAGTGGTGCTAGTGCTTCCAGGCATAAGCACAAGTCACTATCTATCCAGGAAAAGGGTGAATTTCCATGGTCCGGTACCGGTCAGGTCCCGAGGTTGCCGGACTAGAGAGGTACAACCTGTATACTGTACAGTATTTTACCTCTCTTCTTTACACACTGAGATTCCAATAACATTATCATGTAACTATGAATCCCTGATATAACTGCTTAATATAGGTTGACAATCACTTATCCGAAATCCTTGGGGCCAGATGTGTTTCGGATTTCAGAATGGGTATTTATTTATTTTTTTTCTCCAGGGATCAGCCCACCCAGGCACAGGTCACACACCCACATCAGGGCCTGGGGGGCAAAAATATTATTATTATAATAATAATAATAATAATAATAATAATAATAATAATAATAATAATAATAATGATAATGATAATAATAATAATAATAATAATAATAATTCATAGGTCTAGATCGTGTTTCTCACTTTTGATCTTTTTTTCATTCATGTATTTCTTTATTTTTATTATTATTATTTATTTTTTTATTATTTTTATTGTTATTATTGTTATCATCATTATTTTATTTTTGTGTATTTTTTACTATAAATTTTATTTACTATGAATGATTATTATTATTATTACGGACTACATTTACGCCCCTAGGCTCCAATGTGGGTCAGTGACCTGTGCCCGGGTGGGCTAATCCCCGTAAGAAAAAAAATACTACTAATAATAATAATAATAATTTTGCTCCACTAAAAAACTTTCGGTTTTCGGAATTTCGGATAAGGGATTGTCAACCTGTACTGTCAATTTTATAGGTGATATACAGTGGGCAGAGCTCTCTGGCAACACCATATTTATGAGTTATAAAAATCTGGAAAGGGATGACACACTTCAAGATTTGACAAAAAAAAAACTCTGGTGTTGTATTATGAAACACTCGTTTATTAATATTAATCATATATTATTTATTTTTCTTATTTTTATTGGAATTCTGAATGCATATAAGTACTGAAAATACAATACTGTACATGACAGGATATTCAAAATGGATTTTCAGTCACAGCACAAATTTTTTTAGCACTCAAGAAATACAGTATTAACTTATATTGTGATCATGTTACGAAGTTTTACTGTCTCAAGCACTGTTAGTTTCAGAAAAAGCTTTCAGTATTTACTGTAAGTCTAAAGAGGCCAAATGCTTTCATACAAAGAGTTTTTTCTCCAAAATCTCAACCCCCAGTTTAATATCATATTCCTTATTCAAAGTCAAAACAGTGATGTGAATATCTCAATAAACTCCTTCAACTGTCACTCATTACATTTTGAATGATGCCAATAATAACATAGTCTCTAAATCGATCTTGGAACTCGCCTTATGTAGTGCAACATAACAAGTAAACCATACACAAATTCATCATGTTGAACAGAGTATGCATTAACATGTTACTGAGAATTTTGTATGTAAGATTTTGAAGAAATCTTTGCACAGGACACCTTCCAACCAAATTTGTAAACATATCTAATTTAAATAACTTAGTAAATAATTCTAACGAGCAATATTTCATGCTACACTGGGTTCCTCAGAGTAACAAATTTTTTTCTTAGTTACCTATCTATCCTTTACTCATCCCACTTCTTGTACTCCATACCATCTGGGGGTTTCACGTCCACCTTCTGACCAGCTACTTCTTTCCAATTCGTGCTTAGGACTGTGCCACCTGATTCCATCTGAAAATGAGTACAAAATTTCAATTAGAATGTTTGGACTGGTCATTTTCCACACCAACATGAAAGATTGGAGCAGAGTAAAATTCAGAGGAAGAATGTAGGAGGCAGAGAGGAATATCCCCTTTTCTCTTTGTTAATAAAGAAAGTGAAATTATCAGCTAGATTAAGAGGAGGTATACTGAACCAACTCCAAGTAGATTTTTCTCCGTGAAAATTACTGATATATAATTATAATTTCAGTACACAAGGTATTTTTTACATCTGAGGGCTCTTACACCCAGCCATTAAAATTACTAACACCCTATAATGAAATACCTGAATACCATGCCAATAACTTACGAAAGACTTATTCATGGCTCGCCGGGTCTCATCTGAGCCTTGGCCATAGATCTTCTGGAAGAGCTGATTTAATGCAGCATCTCCCTCCAACTTTTCATCTTCCTCCTCTTTCTTTACTTCGGCTTCTAACTTGCTCCAATCATGTTTTTTGGATGATGATGTTGGGTATGATGGGGTCTGACACTCTATGGATGTTCCTAAGGTAAGACAGAATAATAAATGACAGTTAAATTTCTTTTTATTGAAATCTTAATTCAATGAGAATCCTTTGAGCACCCAACCTAAGAGTTGAAGCCTGGTGTATACAGAGATGTTAACACTGCCAGGTTAACATGACTCATCACCAGACCCTTTTCATAGGTAGGGTGCCAGTGTAGGAAGGGAAGGAGAAATATTAAAGAAAGAATGCTAATTTTGGTATTTTTCTATAAAATAGAACAATTCTGCACTCAACTGTCAATGAACCAAAGTTTCTTCTATTTCCCTCTCCAGAAAATTTTTAATCACTGTCTACAGTGGCCATCATCAATGGAAGTTAGCTGCAAAGACGGTGGCCAACATCAATAGATGTTTCATGTTCCATTTTATTGGCATATGGGGGCAGGTATGGGGATCCTTAACTGCTCTTTAAGGGTTGGAGGATATACATACCTGTGGGGTTTGTCTTGATAGTTGGAGCAGAACCGTCCCCCTCAAGTGACGCCCATCTGATACCATCTACCTTCTTCAGTTTTACCTCTATCTGAAATCATAATATGAACACATGTCATAAAAAATATATGTTCACACACTGCAAACATTTGTTCACTCACTATTCAACCATTTATTCACACACTACACTGTACCCTTGTTCATTCGGATTTTTACTTAATTCATTTTTTTTCTTCAAAATTAAGTTAACAATTTTTACTTAATTCAAGAATTTTTTCAAAAATTAAGTAAACAATTTGAATTAAGAATGAATCTGAAATTAGCAAGCAGTTCTGAAAAGTAAATTAATATTACTGTATAAACTGAAGTTACAAAATTTCGATGAAAGCCGAGGAAACGGCTAAAAGGATAGAACACCTGAAGTCAACATACCGAGGGAGACGGCCACAACATGATCAGCTTTCCATACTACTCAACCTCACCTCCTCTACACAGATCGCTAAGTTATCTTTTATTCATATGATCTTGTTAGGCAGCTTAGGTAAATAGTGTTATAGGAATAAAGAGGTAATTTTCACTTTAATATTTACATACTCTACTACTTCCCATCCTTAATTTCTTCGCACGAGTATGGGAGCATGAAGTAACCACAAAATTCAGGACAATGCAAAAATAGTTTGGTCCCCTACATTTTGCATAAAATTTAATCATGGAACTCGAACTGTACTAAAGTATATACTGTACAGTATTTACATTTTGAGTAATTTTAAGACGATTCAATACATATTTCAATCCTGGATGAAGATATCCTCCCCCAGTTGTGTCACCTCTAGTAAAGCATAATAAATGAAAGAATGTAAAAAGAAAAAACAATACCTGTACTATATTCTAAGTCTACAAGGTCACCACAGACTTGATTATCACTAAGAAAGAGGTAACTCGCCAAGCTACCATCTCCAACTTCACTGATGAAGTTATGTCAACAGCAAGAATGTTACACGATATATCTTCCCAGGTAGTCTATGACTTAGCAACAGAGAATAATGAATTGGCTTTTCATCTTACTGGTTAAGATTCTGGTACTGCATGGAAGAGACCATCTCATAAATTCTCTCTCACTCACTCCCCACACCAACGATCTATCAAACGTGGTTAAAAATACAGCATGAATCTCATACCTGCTCGGGGTGAAACACTTCTCACAAAATGTAAAATATCTACTATGCAATGATGAATCAACTGCAAACACTGAAGTCTTCTGTCACAAATACAATACAAAAATGATTATTCTTTTGCACCTGGCACTGTATTCAAACAAGATAGATTTTTTTAAATTTGATTAATTAATGGGCAGAATTAATTCCAAACAATTCACTCAGACTTACTTTGGAAGGCACAACTCTGATTGAAGATTCTGATGGGTTAATTGGATGACATATATCCAACTCAAGGCTATATTCTGAGCCAGAAGGCAAAGGTGCAGTCACACTAACCTATAATGAAAACAACAATTAAGACAAATTCAAAGAGTTTTGTTCATGAATACTACTCTGGTTCCAACTAAATGGTACACAAAAAAGATTACAGGACAAATGGGGCCCATAAGATCCCATTCTACTGGTTGAGATGTTAGGACAGGTGGACATTACACCAAATTACTGTGCCATGTCTCCCACCATAAAACTAGAACAGAACACTGAAGATTTCTTTGAAAAAGTGAAAAGAGGACACACACATGTACTCTTTTATGATGATGCAATATGTGTTAAAACAGATTAAAGCCATCTCTAACTCTAATGAAACTGCACTAGTGATACATTTTCATTTCAATGTCTATAAATTCTTAAGATATGCAAATTTGACATCTGTGACTTTCAAGAGTCCAACATTGATTTGTCTCTATATCAGTGAAATGTTTTGTATAGTTAACCTCTGCAATCTTGAAAAATTTAGCAATCCAGTTCACTGTGTGATCAATCTTCAGAGATAAGATGGAGACCCAAGATCAGTTTGTTTTCAAGTTATTGAATAAATCATAATTTGGAGACAGCCCAACAGACATAAATGCATATGTCTGTAGGGATTCATAAATTTCAAGATTCCTTTCTCAGTTTAATGGTGGATACAATAAATATGAATAATTTTCACAAAAACTATTGATTGTGGAAAAGTGAACTATCCTGCAGAACATTTTGGAATGTTCTGCACATTAAGAAATGTTTTACACAGTTTACTACAGTAGCCTACTAAGAACAGCAATGTTTTCATAGCATTACTTACTGTCTTCTCAGTGAAATCTACTTTAACATCATCTTTCTTCAAGTTTTTAATAAGTATAGTGATGATGACATGTGATTCTGTCTGGTACCAGTCATGTTTTATCTTTGGTACTGGCATGATATTAGCTGTATCAGGGTTTTCCATGTTGCTTCCTGAAAGAGAAACTTTGATTTTGTACACTGCATAATATTTGTGTTAACATCTTATTCGCTATCTAACATGAACTAAATTGCTTGCACTTATAAATATGCAAGAGGGAAAATTATCCCCTGAGTATGCCTTTTATGGAAAATTAGGGCTTCTACCTTTAATAGAACACCTTAGATAACAATATACAGTACAGACTGTACACCAAGAGCAGTGAAAAAGACAGAACACCACCACATTTCCAAATTTCAAGAAGGATAAGGTCTGAGTGGTGCTGTATTAGTAAAACATATCAGATTTGTTTCATCTAACAATGCATTACAAATGGCAACTCCACTATAGCAACGTTGGAGAAAGTCCATGAATCAGCCACATGACATACAGATGCCATCAAGCTAATCAACGCTTGCAGAAGATGGGATGCACATTGCTCTCAGCACTTCATAACTTTTACGAAGCTTATGGGTATATAAAATTAAAACTTTTCCTTCAACATAACCCCAAACAAACATTCATCCTGTTCATTAAAGGAGAAGCTGCTGATCCTTAAGTTTGCAGTGGAAAATTCCAAGAGAGCTGTTGCTAGGAAGTTTGACATCGATGAAAGCAACATACAAAGATGGAAATAACAAGTTGAAGTACATATTTTTATATTTAAACACACTGTCAACTTTCCAAAGAATTCACAGCATATCCTCAGGTAGACTAATCATTCACCAAAAACTCATGACTACAGTATTTATTTTCTGTGACATCATCGCTAGTGACTGTACCTCCTCACTCACTGGAGCTGTTGCCACATTTTCTCCTTTCGTTATATAGATGTGTACTTTTTGACAATCTACTACAATGTATTATAATATGTGCATATGTACACAAATAGTCAATATCATATACATGTGTATCTTGTGTTATGAACAATTCTGAATGTGAATTTGATTTTGATCCCCTCCAACTTTGAGGTGCAACTTAGAATCAAAGGCCAATTTTTTGCATGAATTCTGTCCAAAACTCACCATCCAGCTTAAAAAGGGGGGAGACTTAATTCATCAAAATACACCAGCACGGTATTACAGTCAACTTGAGCAGTAGCAGGAGAGGGCTTGTTAGAGAGAAAAGAAAATATGATTTGTCTTACCAGAAGGTTCCTCAGCAGCCATTGAAGGGGTATCACTAATTCTTAATTTCTTAATACGTTCTTCACACCAAACCGTCCACTGCCCAAACTGGTCAAACTTCCCCAAGTCAGATCCTAAAATGTTCATAAAACAAAACTAAGAAAAACATAACACCAGTCCATCTTTTCTCCATTTACGAACTTTTTCACCAATGCCTATCAAAATACAGTTTAATGAATTTCATGTTCATAAAGTAGTAAAGCTTTTCCTATAACATAATCTTAATGTAAAATTTTAAGATACTATGTCATTACCAAAAAATTAATTAACAAAATTAAAAAAAAAAAAAATCAAGCAATAAAAACCATTAAACTCAAGACATTTGATGATTATAAGTTATGCAAGTTTTGGTAAGAACAAAGGATGACAATGACTGTAAACAAAACTCATAATGATCATCTACTACTGTACAGTAGTTGAAATAAAACTAATGATACCAAAACCTACCTCCTTTGGACTTGCCCTTGTTAAATGTTTCTAAAGATTCAGGATACTGCCCTAAGTTGAAGAGAGCTTTGCCATGCACCAAGTGAGCTTCAGCTCCTGCTCCAAGTGACAATGCCCTAGCTGCGTCACTGCACGCCTCTGGTTAAACAAACACCATTAGTTAGTAGTTTTTACTTTCATAACTGAATTTCAACAGCTATTGTAAAAGCACCATATGAGTAAATGTCTCATGTATACAGTATGAAAGCAGCATATGGATAAAAAAAATTTATTACAGTACAGTATAGTATAATAGGTACCTTTAAACTTCTCAAGCTTCAGCAGGTTCTGGGCCCTTAGAAGAAACAGTTCAGGATTGTCTGGATTTCCCTTAATTTCGGTTGTAATTAGCTGAAGTTGGAATGGAGAGAGAGCCATTTACATGTACTACTGTACAATGTACAGATTTTTTTATAACTCCTATGAGACCAAAACACTACTCCACCATAAGTCGAACCTATAATTCTTATTAGACAAAAACACTACTCCATCATAAGTCATACTCCAACATACATCAAACCTATAATTCCTATTAGACCAAAACATTACTCCATCATAAATCAAACCTATCTTAAATATATGATCCCTTTACTCTCCTTGCAATCTTTCTCATCCAGACTAGCTTCAATGAATGTCATCTGCAGATTATTGTACAGTATAATGCCATTTGCAAAGCACACTCTTGTATTACCTCCACTAGTCAACCATAAAGTACTTTATCTTGAATAAAAATGTCAAGGGACTGGAAAAGCTAAGCATTTTTAATCTGGTATCACCCACTCCACATGTAACACAAACTTCTTACACATTCCTTAACCCCTTGTGTGCAGGGTCCCTTTTGTACTGAATAAAATCGTCTAGCATTGGTGAAGAGGTTCACTTCATTATTTATAGTCATCTAACATTTTACAACCACATTAATTCTAAGAACGCTACCATTTTTACCCACTCACTCAACCCATATAACTTTCTGAACTGATATTGTGAAGTTAGCCTCTTCACAATTAAACACTGTACAGTTGTCTGTACAGGTATCCCTCATTTAATGATCGTTTACTTATTGATATTTTGGTTTAGTGATTTAAAAAAATTTAACACCCTTTCTTATTTAACAATAGTCAATTTTCGGTTTCACGATCTTCAACTTTCTGGGAAAAATTCGGGAGGGAGGTCGGAAAAACTAGGGATTCTGTGTTCCAAGTCGACATCATTACAATACTGTAATGTGGCTTAGAAATAAAAATACTATACTGTATACAGTACTATAAACTGCATTATAAAATTATAAAATAAGAAAAGTGAAAAGCATTGACGTGTATGTGTTGAAGTGAACATACAATATGTATTGAGGAAGTGAACTGTAACTGTGGCCAGTAGTACTCTCCCTCCCCCCTATGTGACATCACGGCATACAGGCAGCAGCCACACATATCTCTTGAGTCAGCTTGGTGACTGCCTGGCTGAACTGTGTTGCATGTGTGCTGTACCAGTAAATGTGAGGAATAAATAAAAATAACTATAAATAAAATAAAATAAAAAATCTGCATTGCTATTTGGCAATCATTTCACAGGAAATGGGAGAGAGAACAGCTAAGTGATCCACCACGCCGCTCCTTCCTCCCTTTCACGGTCCCCCTTCCCAGGTCTGTGGGCTACCTGCCGGCCACATAAGAACTGTTTACTCCCTTTATGTTTTCAACCTTATGATAATTAATTTTTTTTAAATTTGTTTGTACATTCCACATGAACGATTTTGTGTACATGTAACAGAGCAAAAGGAAATGAAGAAAATTACATATATCTACCTGAAAATAGGAGTTGAACAATAACATAACTCACAGTTCAGTATCACCCACTCTGAGTGCTACTGGGTGGCGAGTCCATGACTGGGCTACACAATTACGTACCAGCTCCATGGATATTATTCCTCGTTTTCCCTCATTTAGGATATTATTTTTCTTGTTTTCCCTCGTTTAGTGATCCTTTCACTGAACAATTGGTTTTTAAGGAATGCATCCCGATCGCTAAATGAGGAATACCTTTATTATAGTAAGACCCCTCTAAGTCGCAGTTCTGTAAGATGGAAAACCCCACAAGTCAGACAAGCTCTGACTTAGAGTGGTTGTGTGGGGCTGCAGTTGGGAGAGCAGTCAGTTCCCACATGTTTGTTGTTGAAACCTTGCTCCAACACACATGTATTATTGGCCTCTAAGGCAAGACAAAATAACACCACTGAGGACCACTGGGAGAAAATAAATGGTGCTCAGTACTCTACCAATTGAAGAGAAATTAAAAATATGAGACATTATCAATCCTGGGGTCTCCATAAACATTATCTGTCAAGAGTTTGGGCTGAACTGGAGTACTTTTTATAAAATCAGCCAGATTTAAGTACAGTACATACTAGATAGAAGTTTAACTAATACCTGTATATGATGAAATTTAATAAAAAGTGTAATTAAATATATGTGTGAATATACTGTAGGTATTGTAAGTGTAAGAAGCCCCCCTCCCCCCATCATCCTCCACCTCAAGATTCATCTGCTACAATAAAAGTAAATGCAGTGTAAATACAGTGTATCTCCGTTAGCCGGAATCCCTCAAACCCGGAACTCTCCAATAACCGGAATTTAAATTTTCTAAAAAATTGTACCCAAAGCTGTAATTTTCCGGAAAATTACGGCTTTGTGAATGATTTTCCGAAGAGCACATTTTCCGGAAAATTCAGAGAAAATTTTCGCGATACCCGGAAAATTCCGGGGATGCGGGAGTTTTTTTCCGGGTTTGAGAGATGAAAGTTAGGCGCATTTTCTGGAAATTACAAGAAAAAATTTCCATTACCCTGAAAATTCCGGGGATGGAGGATATTTTTCCGGGTTCAAGATGATGTAATGAGCTTTTACTGGAACTTCCGAGAACATTTTTCCGTTACCCGGAAAATTCCAGGGATGAGGGATCTTTTATCCGGTTTTGAGAGAGTCGTCTCATTACCCGGAAATCTCTCATTCCCGCAAGTGCTTTGCACCAATTGTTCTGGCTAACGGGGATATCACTGTATATACCGTTAACCATAATTTTGTTTTTGGAAGGGATTTTTCAGCAAAATGCTTGAAAGCACCTGGGCGAAGGTTACGCATAAGTCGGAATTCTAGATGAGTCAAAGAGCCTCAATCCTCATATAGTCCGACTTCGAGAGATCTTACTACAGTATATATATCCTGTGAAAATGATCTGGCCTGAAAACAAAATGTTTTTTATAATGTAATGCTCTTGTTTGAAATGTAACTAGCCATAGTATGATCATGATTACCAAATGAATAAAATTAGCTCATCCATTACAGCAAATGAATGAATACAGAATGAATCCAAGATTACACTTAATGCAATTCCATTACTTATTACAAAAATTTTATGTTTTAATCTGCAAAGCAAAATTTAAACAAGGTGGAAACAGGTAGTGTTACTGTACCTCCACAGCCTGGAGATATTGGCCTTCACCATTCAACCTGCTCACTTCACCTCTGTCAGAAAAATATGAACTAAGTATAAATTTATTTAAAATTTGGACTTTGGGTCACAATCAGGAGTAGTTACATCTTTGAAAATAAAAAAGAGCAAAGTGTGACTTATGATGAGAGCAGTGTCTATTACTGTACTTATTGCTGTGAGACTTAGCACATGCCCAAGTGCTAACAGGCAACCTAACTTGACCATTAAGTTTAAGGCCCATAAATATTGGGGCCCAGTTCAAATGGTAAAGTCAATTGGAAGGCATAGAAACACTGATTACAATATCAATAGAAGTCATATTTTGCTGATGATTTTTTAAAGGGATAGAAAAATTTCATATATTGTAGCAACTACATTTACGGTACTCTCTTCCTAATGTTGTGTGGAGTGTACCAAAGGGCAGAAAAAATAAATAAATAAAAAGAGAGGAAATGGGAGGGTAAATGGATCAAACAGGTACAAGTGCAAAACCCAACTGGAGAGGGCTGAAATAATGTACAATAAATCCACAATACAGGTACTGGATATATTACATGCCACAGCATGGTTCACCAGAGCAAGGTACTGTACAAGCATATGTGGGATACTGTATTCTATTTTGAAAAAAAAAAAAAAAAAAACTTACCACTGATAAAGTGAAAGGTAGTGGAGAGAGATGTTAGTCACACTGCCTTTCTCAGTAATGAATACTTTCCCTTTAGTACAATACACTATATCCACGCTGCCCCTAATACGCCATTAGGCCTATGGGACCCAGTTCAACTGTTTACAGTCAAATATAAGAAACTCAGTAAGAATAAATAAAAAGTAAGGAAGCTTTTCTACATTTTTGTTTTATCTTACACGTGTGTTCCTCACTGACAAAACTATGAAGTGAATCTGTCTAAATGTCTTTTTATACAATGTTGGTTAACATACACACCAACTCTTTATACTGTATACTGTAACATATATTTTTTTAAAGCATCTTAAATGTGAACACAATGCATGGAGCATATAGCACATCGATGTATAATAGTGTTGGGGATAAAAATATCTAAAAAATAATAGTGCGTAACAAAAAACTTATTCCTTCCCATTTCAGGGTTTTCCATGAGTAAAATGAACATTCGTCCTCTATAGAAAGTTTCCTCGGTTTCCTGGTTAATGTGTGTGCAACTGTCATCTAGTATTTCCAAACTAATTTATGAATAATTCTGTAAATTTTTTAGTTAAACTATAAGGTATTAATAGTTGGCCTTCCGTTACCAACAACAATAATTTCTGAGAACACTACCACCACCAGGAGTTGTTTGATTCTGTTTATTTTTTCCACAAATGTTCTTTTTATTATACAGTACTGTATTAAGTATTTTAAAAGAGGTAACATCTTTTTAATTTTAATATAGTAACTTTTTTTTTTTAGTTTTCTCTATGATCATAAATCACCTGTAGTGGGCAGGGCATGAAGCAAGAGGGAAATTACGGGGTAAAACTTGGTGAAAAACTGATCATATGACACTAAAATTATGTATCTAGGTACTTTGTACATGAAGCCATTAATTATTTACCATAAATACGCCTATGAGAAGTCTGCCAAGTTAGCATGTGTTGTCATCTGCTTTTTGTTTGTTTACAACCGACTTGCTTGGTCCGAGCGTACTCTCACGTCCACAAAAAACATAAAATTACACCATGACACTTCAACAAAATTGCTTTCTTTGGTACCAGATATCAAAATAAATACTTTCTGTTTAATATAGTGGGGGGTCAGGGGGGCTAGGTTAAGTAGGTTTCTTTGGTTGGTTAGGTCAGGTTCTATTAGGTCCTCGTAAATGTCGTCTCTTTTAAAATGCTTTCTATAACGACAACAACATTTGTGGAAAAAATTAATGAAATCGAACAACTGTAGTAGTGCTGTTCTCAGACATTACCCTCAATAACTCTTTTGATTTCATTCATTATCAAAAATAAACTGTAAAATTTTACCAGATGAAATCCATAGAATGCAAAGTGTATTGTGGGCCAAAATGAAAAATATTAAAGTAACAAAGAAAGGTTAATGTTGACAACATATCCGTCACAGCCTAACTTGTTTTGATGGATTTTTTTACTATATTTTTATTGTTGGGTCAGACATGATATCCATTTCTTGGGCAAATGGGTTTTATTTTACTTTCGGACATAGCGCGCCCCAAAGTTATAAACTACCGAAACATTTATATCTCCCTATTCTGAGCATCTTGAACCCATTTTTACCAATCTGAAATGGAAAATAACGACACCATTGAATATAATTGATTTTACGTACTTTTCAGTCTTCGTCTCTGTGAAGAGCTGTTATATGCGTGAAACCAAGTTAATTATGAGTGTGTTTACATGACGCATGTGCAATGTTGACTGACGTCATCCAGTCTTGACCGATGATGTATCGATCTCATCACACGATTTTTTCAGACCAATCACGTTTGATTTTTTCACAGGAAGCAGCCTGGGTATGATTTTAATTTCATTGACCATTCTCACAATGGCCGTGGTGGGGGTTGGTTGTCATATGTTCTCCTACGATTATTTTAAGTTTATTGCCGAGTTTTACGGGAAAGACGATCATTCTATCCAATTGTTATGTATCCTTGGTCCTTCCACTTCGAACTAAGGAATGTAGTTTCAGATATGGCGCAACCCAAAGTTTTAAACTACTGAAACATTTTGGTTAGTTTAAGCTAGGCCTCCCGGGTCCAGGGGTTAGGTTAGATGACTCGTTTTCGTTTTCTCCCACAACCCAAAAATCCTGATTTACCAGGTTCTCCCCATTATTGTTAGGGGGGGGGACAAAATCGAAGATCAGATTCGTTTAAAAAAACACAATGGTACACTGAAAAGACATATTGGTCAACCCATGGGGACTCGTATCCTAAAGTAAAAATTTACCCAAAACAATGATGGATTTCAAAATTCACTTTCTATGAAAACTCATTAACAGGTTATGTCGTCAATAAATACCCAAACAAAATTTTAAAAGCTATCGTACTTCCTGACTTGTGCAGCATTTAACCATTCCTGAAAGCACAAGCACAAAAGCCCATCTTCACCATCAAAACAGCTGTAATTTTACCCTCAAATTTTCGTAAAGGGTAAAAATTCTGATGGTGTGAAATAATGAGGAAGATTTGTATTTATATTGGCTTTCAACCTGAGAAAAACACCAAATAAAGCAAACTTGTGTACAAAGTCATGCTAGACAAACTAAAATAAAAGTCACTTTACCTAAAGATAAATTTACATACATAACATTTGAAGGCCTTCGATAAATTAAAACGATACAAATGGTTTAACTTACTGTAAGGTCATTTGTGACATGGTAGTAGGCCAGTATATAATAAACCCTTCATAAGGCGAGTATTAGACGGATGTGTTCTCCTCTCCTTTCATAGAGAATATTCTGGACACTAACATCTTTAGCAAAAAATAAATAACTACTACCCCTTATTATTTAAACGAGGAGAAAAGCAATGTGTACACGTATGAAAAAAATATACAACGAAATATTTTTTTTAATAGACATTAGCAGAATACCAATGAACATAATATATGTTTTAAAAGTATATTACCCAACAACAGCTGAGTGAGTCCTCCTGAAATACAAAAAGCAATATAAACAAATTAAACTAATAAATACCTCAAATAACCTTAATGTTCATATCTTGAAGATATATTTCTTACCGGTGTATATAATTTAAAATTTTGTATAAAAATAAACGTTTTCTACTGTATACTTATTAATATAAACCAACTAGAATCGGTTATATGAATTTCAAGTTTATGTTGGTTTTAAATATTGTTATTCACTTACCTTTTCTATATTAAAGATATAGTTTTGATATGAAACTGTAAATTTCATATAAAAGTTAAATGCAAACCCTCAAATTATAATTACATAAGCATATTGAAATTCATCACAGTAGTTCAGTTGTTTTCGGAATTCAGTAGTTTCGACTAAGTGTTTGTTTACATCACGGGAGACAACAACACGCGGCACCTCACGGGTGACTCACTTGACGTGGCCTCTGTACTGTGCTTATTATATTAACTACTGTAAATTAAACACTATCCCTAAAGTGTTTAAAATCACTCATTAGTAATACAGTACAGGGAACTAATGTTATTATATAATTAAGCACAACACAATTTGTTAAGCTAACACTGCTTTAGCTACCCCTAGTTTGTACTAAAACCAAGAAATTCGTAAGTGACGCAGGTCATCATGGAAACTGGAGAAGATAGCAGTTGTGTACTGAACCCAGAAACTTTAAGTGGTAAAGACGGGAGAACAGATGAAGATAGCACAGAGGAGACATCAAGCAAAGCTGTTGCTGCTCAAGACCCAGAATTTTACTCACACGCTGCAGCATATTGGGAAAATATACCTGCCACTGTTAATGGTATGCTGGGAGGGTTTGCCCATATTAATGCACCTGATATAAGTGCCTCGGATCTCTTCATACGAAGTATATTTAAGATGAAGAATCCCCCTGGACATGGACGAGCTGTTGACTGCGGTGCAGGTATTGGCAGAATAACTAAACATTTACTGCAGAAACATTTTGGAAAAGTTGACCTTGTTGAGCAGTGTCAAAATTTTATTGACCGAGCAAAGGATAATTTTAAGGGTTCCAAGAAAATTGGCAAATTTTTGTGTTTAGGCCTACAGAACTTTTCACCAGAACCCAACACTTATGATGTAATTTGGTGTCAGTGGGTGTTAGGGCACTTGACTGATGAAGACCTTGAAGACTTTTTCAGGAGAATGGGTTATGGGTTGAAACGCAATGGCATAATTGTGGTGAAAGAAAATGTCACTTCATCAGGGACTGTGGAGCTCGATGAGGTAGATTCATCCGTCACCCGGCCCGAGAATCTCCTGTTGGATATTATTGAACGAGCAGAACTCAGAGTCTTGAAAAATATTAGACAACCAAACTTACCAAAAGGTCTGTATGAGGTGAAAATCATGTGTCTTAAGCCTAAGAAAGCATAGGTTGATAATTCTTTGAAACCAACAATGACAAATAAGAAACTGTATTATACTGTACCAATGATATTATTCTTTGTAATTATGCTGAGTTATGCTGAACTTTGTAAACCAATCTGTCTTGGATTAATTATTGGTATGAATAGTTTAACATCACACTACTGTATAAAACAAGACATTTAATGTAAAAAAAAACATTATACAATTTATAATCTTAAGGGTTGTATACTGTACAAGTATTGTATGTGAAGTGATATGTTGTTGCTCTTTGAATAGAAATCACAATTAGCTTGATTCATTTTTTAATTTTAAATGCATTCATCTGTTATTTAAATTATTAAGTGGGCTTTGTGAATTTGTAATAAAAATATAATTCCACATGCTTTTGTATGTAGTATACCTATCATTTTGTGTCATTTGTGCATTACAGTACTCTATATTTTGTGATATGCTGTTTAGTCAAGTAAAGAAGTATTGTATTGTAATGCTGATGGTAAATGTTTATACAGGACCAGTACTATACAGAATATAATAAGGGTTATACAGATATAGACCAAATTTAGCAGGAATTGATAATTGAATGAAAACTTAGTAAGTTATTTTGAAATCTTATCCCTATTACAATGCAGCCAGATTTTTGTTTTATACTGTACAGCTACTATAGTATGAATTAGATTGTTTAAATACCACACAAGTAACAGAACTCTCAACAATACAGTACAACTGTGTCTGTAGTTAGATGGCATTGATTTGTCCCCTTTTGTGCAATGCTGTAATTTTCCCATCTTTCCATTCTTTTGATACAGTACAATCTGTCTCAAAGGCGTGGTAAATATTATTTCACAAGGTTGGCAAATTTCACTCGTCATTTCTTTCAAGAATATTGGGTGTAATTTGTGTGGGCCAGGTGACTCTGATGTTTCTTGATAATATCTTGCATATGACTATCTTCTAATTACTGTATTTTATAAGAAGTTTTGGATCTATGTGGGGTATGTTCCCTTGTGTAATAGCCAAACCAAAGTATTCTGGAGTGGTTCTTTTTTGTCCAACTGTTAGAGAGGGTGAAATCAAAGGCATTTCGTCTTATTAACTCTCCTCCTTTATTTGATAATCTAATCTTCCCTACAATGTTGCTTCACTCTCTTTTACAGGTTACTTTAACGGGTAATGTTTAGTGGATTTGGCATCCTGTGTACCACAGGCAAGGCAGTGAGCTCGTAACACTCATCTTGCCTGTGGTGCCCACCGTTTCTGTGTGGATGTCGGTCACACTAGAATAACCCGTTATAGTACATCCTTCATCCTTCTTTCCTCACACAGTCAAACTGTGGAATGGTCTGCCTTCTTCTGTTTCCATACTCTTACAATCTGTCTCACTTCAAAAAGCTGATTCTCTGGCATATTTGTGGTGTAGATTAACATACAAAAGTTCCTTTTCTCCCCCCCAGGGCCTCGTTTCTGGTTGAGGGTTCTCATGAACCCCCACCCACCTCTTTTTCATTAGAAAATTCCAATACTTTTCCTTTAATGTTCTATTGTACTCAGGTGTTTTTGTATAGTAAAAAGAGTATTATTTCACTTGTTACCACTTAACGAATCTCGGGAATTTTACAGTTGCAATCGGTAAATTTAACGATTCCAAAACACTTTTCTTTAAAGTCATATCCAGCACAAATTACGTTTAAGCGAGAGTTATATGCAAATCCCATTTCAGAGATAAATCTGTGAGAGGCACAAAAGGCACATGTTCCCTCTTTATTTTGTAGGCTGGTCCATGTCAGAACACATCTTATCTTTTAGTCATATTGAAGTTCATACATTCTAGCACTCCTTTCAGCATTTAATTTTTTAGTCAGTACTTTATAATTACCATAAATATTTACTAAATTTCTTATGCCTATTAACAATTAGTCTATCTCACCCTATCTCAAGCAAAATATATTTAGCTGACACAGGGCACACCCAGACTATAATTTGTACAATTATTGGTAGTACACGATAATATACATAAACACACCAATCTTTCTTGGAGGTTAGTCTATTATGAGAAGTTCATCATTATTAGCCATTCTGTTATTTTTCAATGAAATGTGAGTTTGTGGGCACTGTACAGTAAAATTACTAATAGTGCATGCATGAAAACATAATATCTGTACAGTACAGAACTATTGCTGAAAGGGGCACTTTGACTGTGGTAGTAACACCCTTTGTACTATGAAAACCTGTATTTATTTACACTTGTGCTTACGTCAGCCTTTTCTAGGAGCACAACCCTCGGCAAAAAGAGGGCAAACTGTATGAAAAAAAAAATGCTTGAGAATGAGCACCAGGTCATAGATAAAACAAGTACTGTACCAGTTATGACATACTTATTCATCTCACAATGGAATTTTTCTATGTTCTAGTCACATCACTGTAGGGAAGTCATACCACTAAAATGTAATTCCATGCTTGTAAGATTTATATTCAGAGAAAGACCCAAAGATATCAGATCAATGGCAGATGCACTCTCACAATATGGATTTCATTAAATTATACCGAGGTAAAAGGGACCTCGTCATACTATAATTTATTCTACAAACTTGCAACAGAATGATTGTTTTTGTTCAGCTATGTTCTAGCACTCCCTACCACCCTGTCATAAATACACATACCTTAAGCTTCATGCACAAGAAATGCAAAGGATGAACTAAAGGTTTCCTGATTACGACAAATATATGATTTATTTACATAATTTTTACGTTCAGATTTACTTCAATTTAAATTAAGTTAAAAGGAAAGGCTATTGAGAAATTTAAAGAAAATGAGATTTTCAAGTGTTGGAAATTCAACAAGCACATAACTAACTCAAAATCATCAAAATATTTTTCTCTCATTACTGTATTAGTAAACTTTATGCAGCATTTGTTAATCTCTCAACTATATGCTATTCTCAAGTTAAGCAATGGAACATGAGCATCCAATGTCTCAAGAATTTAAAATAATTCCACGATTAGTGATTTAGAAGAAACAATTACCATAATTTGAATGCATGTTATATTTCCATCTTCCTCAGGTATATAGTTCACGGAAATATTCACTCAGGGTTTTTGTTATGAATTGGCTGTTGGCCAAATAATTCTATACTGTATACCTAATAGCTAGGCTGTTTCAAAATAATTTCTGGAAAATTATTGTCCTGAACTTACTCAATATCTAAACACATTTATTTCCATTTTATCAAAGACCGTCATTGTATTTGCCATAGCTCCATTTATTAACAATTCACAGAACAGTACTGTACTACATCTAAATCATGGATACTGTAATTCTAAGTCTCCTAATATTCTCTTTGGACCTTTTTTCCTCAACATTTTGTGAAAATTCTCCAGGATTCAACCTCAACACTATTGTATTGTCCTAAGGGCTATGCAACTATGGACTAGTGACTTTCTTATAGCTATTTTATCTGTGCTTTTTGACAGATTAGCAGGCCCTGTTATGTCAATAGCCAGTATCAAATTGCTAAAAGACTAGTGGGAGTTTATGGAGGCTACTCATCCTGCTGGGTTATTAAGGAATTTTTTATTTGATCTATCCCAGCACTGTATCTGTAGGCTTTAGCAATTAAGTTACTGACACAATTTTCTTAGGGCAGCTAACTTTTCACCAGCTTATCATTCATCTTGACTTCCACAAGTCCATACTTCTAACAATATATTTTTAAGGGGACCTTTCCCTATACTTTTCTAGCAATAAACTCTTTATCCTCTCGGTTCTCTTAATTTGGATGTTGTTGCAGTTAATTACCTTAACTGCTTACATTTGTGACACATCAAAAATATATACCGTACTGTGTACTGCATCTTCACATACATACAGAAGTACTAACACAGTTGCTCCTTTGTACACACTATATGCTCATCACTATGTCACTTAATAAGGCATTCGAGTGCCTTAACTTTCTTTTTCTTGCACTAGTCTGTTCTCTGTGCTTTCTCTTTGCCAGTCTTGTTTAGACCAAGATCCCATGTCTCCAGATTTCTCTACCCTTTCCATTATAATTATATCAGTCTTTCCAGCATCAAAACTTTGATTTAACGTTCACTCTGAACGTCCTTCACCTACATATTTGATTAAACCAGTAATTATATTAACTATGACACATCCTCCATGGAAGATCCTGTCTGAGGAAATAGCCATAAAAAAAAAAGTCTCCAGGCTGAGCAGAAATTCTAGGCATCTCCACAAATAAAGAAAGTATACTGTACAGTACATGAAAGAACGATTTTAATGTTTATTTTAATGCAAATTAACACAAATAGACAATGTCCCTATACACCCTATTTACAGTCCCCTCCTACACCCTTCTCACAAGTCCATATCATCTCACGCTAGCCTCTCCATCTATTCCACCACTCCATAATTAACACCTTTGCCTTACTAAACACCCCATAAACTTGACTATTTTTTATCACCTTCCATTCTGATAATCCCAAATACAGCCCCCGCTAACTTTTCTCTGTAGCTCGAGTTTAAAGCACTGTTTTATTCCAAATCCACGTCTCACTTTCATAAGTGCAAACAGGAAGTATAATACTGTACTATCTCTTGAGTTCTTACCATACCAAAAAGATTACATTACTTCATTTGATGATACTTTCTAACTCTCCAGTCACCCTCCTCTCATAAATTGTTCCCTCCCAAACCTCTCTCCATCTTATTCTCATTTAACATCACTCCCAAAGCTTAAAATCTTTAAGCTCTTCCCATAATTCCATAATTAATTCTTCTTCAAAAATTTAATCTGTGAGGTAATTTTAATTTGTATGGTTTACCCAAATCCAAATCAAATAACTTGACTAAGAGAACAATCATTCACATACAAGTGTGGCAATTTTCTTCAAAAGGATACATAAGTTTACCAATAACCTTTCATTACAATTTTAACATCATGACCAAATACAGTACACTGTTCAACATTTATTTGGGGAAAGTTTTCTTATCACGAAGATGAAAAAAAAGTGGTTTCTTTAAATAAAATTTATTAATGAACATTTAACAGTGAATTAGCTGCCTATTGTAAATTATGGCACAGGATGACTTCAAGGTCTCAAATGGTGACCAATCCATTTAAAACTGAGTGATCAAATACTATAAGTCTGACCAATTTTCTTATGGTAACATTCTTAGTGGCCTTCAAGTCTTAATTTTAAATGATATAGGAACGCAATAATTTAGGATAAGTAACTGTACAGATCATTTTTCTATAGCAGAAAACAGGTTTCCACTATCTCAAAAAATTTGAAAATTACTGTATAGGATGAAGAATATGAGAACCATAAACTGCATTTACAGAACCCAGTTCTTGTCTGTCTGACCCTATAATTTAAGTACTGTAAGGAAGTTTCAGTTAAGAGCAAGAATATGACAACAAAACAAGTGGATGCAGGACTCTAGTCTTAAGTCAGTCCCTAACCATTATCACTGGAGCTCAACCCTAAGGGACCCTAGTCCTAATTGGCCTAAATCCTTATGGTTAGGTGGGTGAAGGGTGTGTTTTTATCAATATATATATATATATATATACACAGTGAACCCTCACTTTACGCGGTTAATTCAACCCACGGCGGCCCGCGTAAAGTTAGAAACGCGTAAAGTGAACAAAATATATGGGATTAATTGAAAGAGACCGGGCCGACCCCCAAACTCCACTTTTTCAGACACAATACCTACGTTGCAGTAAAAATAACTTCTTAATTTTATGATGGTATGCACACACAATTAATAATTAAGAGAAATATCAATAATATTAGGTTTTTTAACACTTACATTAGTAGAAAAGATGGCTGGGCGGTTGGTTCCTAGGCAGAGGGCAGATTATTGGCCCTCACCTGTATCACTTGTATCAATTGTATCACTATCCACCACAGAGGCTTGCAGGGCCTCTTTGTCAAACCCCTCAAAGTCCATATCATCACTATCATTATCACTATCACTGACTTGGGCCGGCTGTGGCGGGTGAAGAACTCGGTAATGTTTTGATGACTGGGCAACCTTGTGCACACCCTGCTCGCGCCTCTCTCCGCGTAAAAGGGTACACACACTGCGGAAAGTGAGCATTCCGGTTTCGGCAGGGTACCGCGTAAACGTGGAAACGCGGAAAGTGGGACCGCGTAAAGCGGTCCATATAACACGCGGACTTTGAACATATAATCAACGACCTCACCAGCAAGGAATCGAACCCTCGACCTACTGGGTGGGACTAGGGAACGCTTACCGGCTAGCCCACAAGGACACTAAAAGCAGTTCTAGACTGTTATATTTCACACAAAGCCTGTTCATCGAGCTGATGGCGCCGTGAACCTCACTGGGAAACTGCCCGTGCCTCGTATATGTACCTCGCGTTTCATATCAGCTGGATTCGGTAAAATGCTACTGACACCACATACTTAACACGGTACCCTGTGGGTTTTATTGACCGCGTTAAGCGGGGTACTACTGTATATAGTGTTCAGTTCCCCAATAACAAGAAAATCCTAATATAATACCCCAAAAGCATGAAATAGGTTCATAAACTAAAAACACTTACCTAGCTAATGATAAATACCCCTGTATTGTAGTACACAACTGCTGTACTGTAATTTACTACCTAACACATTAAAAACATTAATAAAATACTATCTAGATGAAAAGATGCACCTAAAATCATTAAGAAAAAGCTAAATGAAAGTTTAACACAGCCATAATTTACAAAGATGCTGGCTGCGTCATAATGGCTGCCCTCAAGCATCGCCATAGCAATCCAGCCCAGCTGGGGATGCACCCCCTCCCGCTCTCACACACAAAGAAATATTTATTCCCTTTATGTTTTTACCTTATATTTTTTTACCTTTATTGCTAGCTCTCTATGGCACATGAAATGTTTATTCCCTTTATGTTTTGGCCTTATGATGATTACAGTAATATCTCCGTTAGCCGGAATCCCTCAAACCCGGAATTTAAATTTTCTCTGAAAACCGTTCCCAAAGTCGGAATTTTCGGCAAATTACCCATAAAATTCCAGGGATGGGTTTTTTCCTACTTTGAGAGATGATAATCAGGCGCATTTGCTGGAAATTTAAAGAAATATTTTCCGTTACCCGGAAAATTCCAGACGAGGGATTTTTTCCGGCTTTGAGAGATTCGTTCCAGCTAATGGAGATACAGTACAGTAAACCCTCGAAGATCCGAACCCAGGAAATCCTGATTTCGGAAGAACCGGACAAAAAATTGCGGAGGATTCTTTTTGTATACTTTGTGATACTTACATTAACTAGAACTATTTATATTTATCTCTATCTAGTTACCTGTATTTTCCAAATAGATTCAGTTGCTTTTTGACCTGACCTACAAATCTGGAAAATTGTTGGCCTTAGAACCATTTCCTTATCCACACTTATTTTTGTAACAAACGTTACGTAATTCACACAATTAAATCTAAGTTACTATATCTTAATCGTGCTATTGACAAAAGTCTTTCCAATTCACTGTTATATGGTGATACATGACTTGGGTTTGGTCCACAGGTTTCAAAGTGATGATTTGAGAGTAAACTTAAAATGAAGCTCATAGAAAACCTGGGGAGTGGCCCAACCAGTGGGTAAGAACTGGATTTGATAACACCTAGTTACAGGTTCCTTTCATATTTGTGTAATTTTTCATGAAAACAACAAATCAAACTGGACTCGAAACAAACCAACAAGTAACATTTTCACTGAAGGGTGTTTATGACTTGGTAACAATAAATTTACCTGTAGATTTTAAGTAATTCACATTTAGTATGCTGTACAATGGTTCCTTACTATTCCTATATGGTTCTTGTACGAAAGGAGAGAGAACTTGTTCAAGTCTAAAAAACACTGAAATGGAATAACACAAAGGCATTCTGCACAATGTTTTTATTTGTGAATATGGGTGATTCTGTCTTTATATATGAGCATGACTATTAATGTAAATACTGTATAATTAGAAAAAATAAAGCATGCCTAGTAAGAGTTTTTCAAAAATATAGTACTGTACTCTGTTGGGTTTCAGGACATGGATAGTAAAGTGAATTTCAACAGTAAATGTGTGTTAAGTGACTTGTTGTTATACTGTATATGTCACAACAAGATTATAATTAAGAGATGATCTATTTATAATTACATAACAAGTCACTACAAATATCAGATATTAAGACTTGACTGGAGTACATTTTATTCAAGTCTTTGATGCTGGGATATATATATATATATATATATATATATATATATATATATATATATATATATATATATATATATATATATATATATATATATATATATATATATATATATATATATACACACACAGGTATATGAAACTGTACAACATACGCTAATTACCAATATAATAACTGTGAGACTAATACAAATCTAAATGAAGACCCGTTGTCTATCCTTCTGAATTACACCGGAAGGAGTAAATCTCCATCTGCTGCTTCAGAAGGAGTATGGCATTGTTACAAATCCACACTGATGCATATACATTAATTTTACAAATGAAACATAATAAAAATAGTACTTCTGTTACTTGCTTCACATTTATTGTGTTATGTAATTGTCTTGTAATATATATAACCTGAAGTCAATATTTAAATTATGATGTACAATCAAAGAAAAAGTCGTGTCGCAGTTTTGTCCGAAGATTAAATATAACTCGTGAAACATTATGAGAGGCCCCCTCAAGGCAGAGCGCACCAAAAGTTTAGCCCTTCGGCATAAGTTTTCACCAAATTTCACGACAAGACTTTTGTCTTTCATTGTACACATGGTGAAAGTGAACATTCACTCTCTAATTTCTAAAGATCTATATACAGTAAATACAGGGGAAATTTTAACAAAATAGTGTTGAACAATATACTAATACATAAAAAGAGAATATGAATACTGTCAATACAAATACAGTAGAATCCCAGTTATCTGGCACCTACAGGAATTGAGAGATGCTGGATAAAGAGTTTTTCCAATAAGTTGAAACTCACTCTTAGGATCCCCCAATAAATCCTACAATGCACAGTGCTACAGGCTGACCTCGAAATTCACATCTCAGAATAACATTCTTTAACACTTATTCCACTCTATACAAACAATGTGGCTTAGAAATAAAGAAAATACAATATAAACCTATAATATAAGAAAAATGACGAGCATGTGTGTGTATGTGTGTGGGAAGGGAATGTATATGTAGGTGGTGGGTTTTAACTACGTCGCCAACACACCAGCTCTGCCACCACATTTATTGTTACTTATAATAATTACAATAAAGTTGCTGAAAAATCATTACAATACTGTACAGTGAGTTCTGCTATAACGCATGTTTTGATAATGCGAATTTGCTCTAACGCGATTTATGAATTAGGAACGATATTTGTATAACGCGAACGCTTGTTTGCTATAACGCGATTTTTGCTTACTATTTCTCCAATTTTGTGGTATTAACTGTGAATATGGTAAAGAAGAATATCTCCAAGAAGCGTTCTGGTGATAGAATTCCCGGTGATGATCGTAAAAGAAAGCATATAACACTTGAAGAGAAGCTCGATGTTATCAACCTCAAAATCACCCTTCTCCCCCATCAAGTTACATTCATATTTTTTCAAGGTAAAGTATTACATTTACTGTATGATTTCATTATTAGATATGAATGTAACATTTATTTAGACTGTGCTATCCTTTGTGTTAGGCTAACTACTAAATTTTTTCGATTTCGAGTAATCTGCACCTAACCCTATTTTCTCCATAAGCCCTGTTATTTCTATTACACGATTTTCTATAACACGATATTTTACAAGAACACAATTATCGCGTTATAGCAGAACTACCTGTACTCTAATATGGCTGAGAAAAAAATAAAATATAATATAAAACTATAAAAAAGAAATGAAGAGCATGGGTGTGTATGAGTGGGAAGTGAACGTGTGTGGAAGCAGTTACTATAGGCAAAGCATTGGCTCTAACTACGTCGCAGATTCGTCAACCCAGCCGCTTTATATATTGTTACATATAATGAAACTATAAAAGTTGTGGAAAAATCATTACAATACTATAATACTGTAATCCAATGTGGCTTAGAAATATTAAAATATAATATAAAACTACAAAATACGAATAAGAAAAATGAAGAGCAAATGTGGGAAGTGAATGTGTGCCGAGGCGGTGGGTTACTGGGCTATGATTGCATGGCTGCACTCCCTCCCGACGTGACGTCATGGCATACACACAGCCAAACATCCGAGTCAGCTTGGTGACTGCCTTAACTGTATCGTGTCGCTCAGAGGATGGTTTGAGTGTCGAAGTTGCTTTTTTGTATTTTTCATAAAATATGTGCTGTTGTGTTGTATTATATGCTATGTATCAATTTTATTGTTTATCATAGCAATAAATATGGCAACTCATCCCCATGGCGTGCGGTATTCAAACTTACTATTCTAGTTGATTTTGGAGGAATTTTTATCTTTATTATAATTATTTAATTTTAGTGCTGGTTAGTTCAATCAACCGGATGCCCGGATAACGGATAATTGGGATTCTTCTGTTCTGTACTGTATAGTTGTACCTAAAAAACAACAATACACTACTCATAGGATATGTCACACTTTATTAATATGGCATATCTGCAATAGTGTTGGATGTCATCATATGATACCAAACACTATCTAGTATATTCTCTACCTAAGTCAAAATGTCACATAGTTGAAACCAGATAGCAAACCCTTAAACTCTGACTAAGGGGACACAGATCACAAGTTATACAGGTGCAAAAGTAACAACCTAAGACACAGTGGGTTATGCACATACCAAGTGAAGAATTGTCTATCCCAAGACAAATCCAGGCAGTCTATTTTACAAACCTTTCATTTACTCTTCTTGCTCTCTGTTGCTTGCTCATTAACAGGGCTGCCTTGACTGGGTGAGTTGCTTCTTCGGGATTCACTTTGTCTTAATGTATCACTGCGAAGCTTGGCTTCCAGTTCAGCTCGCTTCCAAGTGACCATCATACTACTACTCAGCCACAACCAGTTTATCTGTGAACAGATATTTTAATTACTACTTTGATAATTTAGTGTTAATATGAAAGAATTAAAAGAAAAAATGCAAGATAGAACTTCCATTTTCTAATACAGTATTGTATATTGGCACGAATTTGTCAGAACTTACCGAATTTCATGCCAACAGCCATCACCACTCGTAATGTCATCTATTGGCATGCAACGAAGACTAGTATTCAGTTGCCATTTCGTGGTTTTGCAGTGCTTACCATAGTATGGAAATCTTGGTACGACGAACAACAATCATAAGAATAACAACTTGGTAACAACTTATCAACACTATGGCCACACACTTACTGTATCATGTTCCATAATAGTAGGAGTAAACATTAAATGGTTAAATGCACAAAAAAGATTTTCTTCCTAAATAGCTATTCCCTGCTGAATTGGGGGTTGCTTCTTACATGCCCATGCATTTTATATGCCACAAAATTCAGTATATTAACCTCTTTGCTCCTAGGGGCTATATGTCCCTAAACCCTTTAACAGAGGTACTGTAGTATATTTTACTTGTACAGTACTCAGCTTACAATGTTTAATTTCTATGTTATATTACCGTATTAACAATTCTTGGGGTTTTTATTCGCAAAATTACATATGATCCAAATTATCGCTTTAGGGTTTTATACGCAAATTAGCATAGGCAAAAAAAATAACAATTATTTTATGATTGCTTACGAACACTTGACATGTAAAATGCACATTTGGCAATGTCAGCGAGATCTGGCAATTATGTAGACTGTACTCCAAGGTCACCACACCAGTCTCCCTTTAGTGTTTAAAGGACCCAGGATATAACATTGATCCACATTTCTAACACTTTTCCCTGCAGTTTGTGCTGATTTCTCGTGCATCAGTGATTATATTTATTCGTAACAGTGTTTTAAGAGTTTTGAACCATGGCTTGTGTTGCGGGCAAGGATGCAGGGGTGGGAAAATGTAAAGGTGCAAAGAATAGGGTTCACATTGCAATCACACAAAATAGCGAAGATATAAAGTGATGTACCGCAAAAAAATTTTCACAGAGCACAAACAAAAATTTTGTGTTCTACTCGTACTTTCGTATATAAATAAATATTCTATCAAGATTGCTTATATAAAACTGTTTGTAGATAATTTATTTACAATGCTAATGCAACAAATCCCACCTTAATATCTCAAATAGCAAGCTTGCTATGACTCATTATGTACAATTATATCTTGTGTGGTGCAGTCAAGTGCGGTGAGGTGAGTAACAGGCCAGACCCTGAAGGCTAACGGAAGAGTGCCTAGCCAAACCCAGGGGTGTTAAGCTTACTGTTGTATTATCCCTCTCATATTTACCAATGAATATTTACAACATATACAGTACATTATTTGAAATACTGTACTTTATGATGTGTTGGGATAAAACACTGATACAGTATACTGTATGAGCATTTTTGGTGATTTTTCTGGTTCCTTTCCCAAAATAATTGTTTGTGGTTCTAACAGGTACAGTACTTGTACTTTGTGAAAATGTTGTAAATGCCATTTATGGAAGCATAAACTCACCCACCCCTTACCTGTATGGTACTTTTGTGTTTCTTCGTATAAACTTCAGCTTGTCAAGGCAATACCTGGGTGGGTCTCCCATGGTTTACACACAAAAATGAAGAAAGTTACTCAATACAGTGAAGTCATGAAAATTCACAAAACAAATTCACATTCTTAAATTCATTGGTGTCTCTATTAGAACTGAATTTTTTTTTTAATTTTGCAGTCAAATATTCATAAAATGCAGCCAAGCGGCAGCTGCCACAGTGTTTGTTTACATACGAAACCATTAAAGTTCTGGAAATATCATTTCAATGCACTAACGTGACTTAGAAATAAAGAAAATAATGTATTATATGAAACTATAAAAAAAAAAGATGAAGAGTGGGAAATGAATTCTGTGTAATAAAAATGGGAGAAAGAGGAAAATCCCGTCCCTCCACTTTGGGAGGCTCTGTCACCCCCACTAAAATGACAGTACAGTACAGTACTTATGCAATTTCATTATAATACCCCTTTTCTTTATGTTCACTTGGTGTAAGGTTAATAAAATATATTATTGTAAAATACTGTACTGTAATCAGTTTTCCTTAAAAATAAAATAATAAATAAAAATCCCAAACTCAACCCCAGATGAGTTAGTGTGCTGTATTAAATTCCCGGCACTTTGTTTTTACGTATATACAGTAGTCTGAACAGTTGCCCAGCCAGTCCTTGTCCATCTCAATGTTGACATATTGTATTGTATTGGTGTCACCCAGAGGATGATTATGAGAATGGAAGGAGTTGTTTATGTAATACAGAACTACTTTTTGTGCAATACCCCCTGTATCTGTGTGTTACTGTATTTTTCTATGTATTATGTACGATATTTAGGTAGTAGGCAGCTACTAAACAGGGAGGTACTACGGCCTGGGAAGATATTGGAAGCATAATGTGTTGCCTAATGGTAGACCCTGCTGCGATGTGGTATCATAAAAATTATGACCAAGTCCCAAGTTGCTGATCTCTTGAAACGAAATGTCTTGACTTGGTCCATTATGCAATCACACTCTCGATTCATTTTCACTGTTTTCATTAAGTTCTAACAATGAACTATTTTGAGTTGGTCCTATGAACTATTCACTCCTAATTTCTTTTCACTATTTTCAAATGGTCTTATTATGCAATCACTGACAATTTTTAGTTTTATTGTCTTCATAAACTAACCAAGCCTGGTCTTGGAAGCCTTGAGATCAGACTGTGCAGATTAGCAGTGCCCAGCAGCCAAGCATTGGGGCCAAACAAGTGATTTTTCATGTCCAGGTGCCTGGCGCTTGCCCGGCAGACAAGCTAATTTTTTGAGGTAAATACTGTACCTACTCTTGATAGAAATTTGTCAGGTGCTGCATGACCCCACCTCCCCATACATGTTTAACCAAGGAGTGTACTTGGATAAGTTACCTATATAAGGTGCAGGTAACTTACTTCTACATTAATCCATCAACGTGGCTCTAGTCAGTCGATCAACTTCTCAACATTTCAATGGAACCAAAAAGCTGAGAGGCTATAGAAGTGAGGTGACAGGAGTTATGATATTACATGACAAGTGTTACCACCAATGACACCAGATCATAGGTGTGTATGGAGGGGAGGGGGGGGGAGTGGTAGTTAGGATAGGTGTTCAAAGTGCAACTCCCAACACGACAGGAGTTAAGATATCACATGACAAGGGTTACCATCATTGACACCATTTAGATGGAAAACAAATGATCTGTGAGTTAATACACTCAATAAATTTGAAAATTTTAAGATGTTTATTTAACTTTTCCCCTACAAAAATCTGGGTAAGCAAATTACCTACAAAAATTTGTCTGGGCAAGTAAAAAAGATATTTGTGCAAGTAAATATCAGCGTCACTTGCCTGGGGACAAGTAAATGTTCTACATAATCTGCACAGCCTACTTGAGATGTCTATGCCAGCACCTCAACAGCTTCTGATGCTGCAAATAATATTATGAAAATGGCAACTTCAGATTTCTCTTACATAAATCAGCACTTGGAATTTGTTTTGTAACTTTAAATTTTCATAAACCATATTCTTGTAAATCAGGGAGTGTCCATATAAAGTTGTTCATATCAAGATTTGAATCTATATGCAAGTACAGTACATGAAAATATTTGAGGCATAATAAGGGTAAACATGTAAAGTGATAGAATTCTTGAAACATTTAGAGGTTAACTCACCATCATCATCACCATTTTATGGCAATTTTCCATACTTATGTAGGTTAGCTGTGACTACCTGATTGCATGGTGGCCTAGTTGTCATGAGGCAAATTTGAAGAAATTTTCCAGCTGGATGCCCTTCCTATAACCAATCTACTTTTATTGAGTTGGAACCATAAACCCAGAGCAGTGTGCTTTTGCATAATTGAGTGGTAAATACTTTATCACATTGTGACACCTTCCACAGGATGGAACATAATTATGCACACAATACTGTGAAAGAATGTAATAAAAGATGAATAACTCACCACCATCATCATGCAATTGAAGAGCACAGGCATAGAGAAAACCACACTGATGAATAATCCCTGGGAGTCGAAGTATTGTTGACGGCTGAATGACTGCCAATTCTTAGCAGCATATTGATTTATTGTCTCTGATGAGCGTACTGTGAGTAGCAGCAGGAAGAAAAGAACAGCTTGGGTTGTGTGGTGGTTCCGTGTCATCACCGTAAATATTGTGAGAAAAATGTGAAAAACCACAAGACCAACCAGCCATCCCTCACTCCAGTCAATCTGAAATAAAAATGAAGCATAAAACGGGGGAAAAATAATTCAAATGTACAGGACATCATAACTTCTCAAAATTTAAATAAATTTAACAAGAAGTCCACCAAATTCCATCGTACTTTGCCATTAAAAATATCGTAGGCCTACTCATGATGATTATGTATGCTCATTCCAGCTTTCATATGGGTGAAAAGATACTATGAGGTCCCCAGATTAGATATGTCCGACTGAGGAACATCCGCCAATATGAACGAGATCCCGTGAAGTTGAACTTTAAATTTACAGTTCTGTTTTTTATTAACCTGGTGACTTAATTTTTTTACTTTCATTTTCTGTTTTTTGTCTTTATATTTCTACTTTTGTCTTATATTAAGTAACTTTAGATGTATACAGTATAAGGACTTAGGCTATCAAACAGGACGGTACTACCGCCTAGGGAAGATATTGGAAGCATTATGTGTCGTCTAATGGTAGACCCTGCTGCCATAAAGCATCACAAAAAATGCGACCAAGTCCCAGGTTGCTGATTTGACTTTCTGCCTCATTTACACACAATTGTAGGGTTTCAAGTGTTTCTCTTACTATCGACAACACAACATACATACTGTCATTTCTCACTCTCTTGATTATTTTTTTTCATTTTTGTATTTATTTATTATTATTATTATAATTTATATTTATTTTATTAATTATTAATATTATAATTTATATTTATTTTATTAAGCACAAAGGCAGAACATAACATACAGAAAATTCGGATCAAATAACAATGACCCCAAATGGATAAATAATTATTTAAAGAATATTACTGGCCAAAGGAAGGCTATAGGTTGGAGAATAAATCGTGAAGTTTACCTCCGAGATTATTATAAGGTATTGGCCAATAGGGTTAAGACCGAGATAAGAAAAGCAAAGAGGAATAATGAACTGAAGGTAGCAAGGGAGGTGAAGTTAAACCCCAAGGAATTCTTTCATGCATCAACTAAAACACGAGACAAGACTGGACCAATACCGGTGAGCTAACTGATAACGACGGAGAAATGAGCAATAATCTGAACAGGTATTTTTCAACAGTTTTCACCACCGAAAATTTAAACATGTGTGTACAGCATCCACGTCGTATCCTGCTCAGTTTGTGTATTAAAAAGGTATAAGTTTTACAATTATTACTGTACTATGTATCATTTTCGTCAGTTCGACTTACGACTCAATTGACTTACGACCTGGTTGTTGGAACGGAACCCCGTCGTAAGTGGTGGAGAGATTGTACTTGGGTTAATATATAAGACTAACCCACGGATGAGTTATTTTTATTACTGTTTATTTTCTTACATTATTTTCATCAGTGAGTTCTGATACGAGAATAATTTTTGTGCAAATTTATCGTTTCATAGAAAGTTAGGCGCCTAGGCACGCACTAGTTTATTTTCTGGACGGTAATGAGGCCCAGAACTGAGCCCGGGGCAGTTTGTTTTTCAGCATGTCGTGTGAAGGTTGTCGCCGGTCTTACATGAATGTACTCTGTAATTTGCAAATTTAGGGATAAAGACAATGAGACCCTTCAATTATTTAAAGATCATGGCATTATTCCTTTAGATAGAGACTGTCCACACTACAGGAATCCCCGTGCTTTCAGACCGGAAAAAAATTTGTTTCAATGTAATAAGAAAATTATAAACAAGAAAAACAAGCGGCTGGAGCGTTGTGGCTATAGTTCCAGTCCATATAAAGGAACTAGGCTTGAAAATGCCAAGATTCAGCCCAGTATTTTATTTTATTTTTTTACTTAGGTATTTTACACAGAAATATTATGAAATAACACTTCCTCAACGCCGTGGCTCGACACTTCCCGCCATCACAGTAAATCACTCCGCCGCCAGGGCTCCTTAGCGCAGATGCGCCTGCATCATCTGACGTTCAGAAAATGCCTCAAATTTCACCATATCAAGGAAGTTCTTTCTGTTTAATATACCGGGGGGTCCGAGAAATGTTAGGTTAGGTTAGGTAGGTTTGTTTGGTTAGGTCTGTTTTTCATACCCACAAATGTTAAGTAACGTTTATTTTTAAAATATCAATTTTTTAACACATTTGCACAAATTACAAGTGTCCACTACAAAATAACAGTGAAAATCCGACGTTTTTATAATCGTTTTCAATCAATTTCAGCCACAGGTTAGACCTATATAATTACCGCTAGTTGTCTGAAGTGTGCAAGGTGGGCCGAGTTAGTGATGTGTGGGCCGAGTTGGAGGTACACCACTCAATTGTAGTGTAATTGCTGGAGGCTCTGCTGAGTCCAAAACCCCACTTAAATGTGGGAATCTAGCAAAGACTCTAAGTATGGCAACAAGAATTAATCTAACACCTGAGTGTCCCTGACAACTCTGTGTTGTCTGGCAAACACTGACAGTACAGCAACATATAAAAGTTGGGAAGCAATCACAAGGAAGCCTGGCAACTTCAGGATGCCTTCCATGTTTTCTTTGCCGATAACATACTGTATTTAAACTAACACTTAAGTTAGCTTGACAAATTTAGGATGCCTGGCTTTGTCTGTTTCAATGACAACGAATGGGAGCTTATAATTAAAGAAGCCTGGTAACAGGGTGAACAGGAGTACAGTAAAGAAATCCTACCGTACAAAGCCACTCACTTTACATTCATCAGGTCTTTTTTAATCGGTGAAGTGGATACACTTACAGAAAAGTAACTTATTATACATTGGAGCCTGTGGTGGTACTTACGGTCTGGAGGAAAGACCACAGGTCGGTCACTTGATCTGTTCTGATAAACTCCGGACCCAACGAGCTCTCATCCATAGTTTCTTAAGCGACTGACTGATGGTGGCAACAAACCTCAAGCCTCAGCCACACGAACCACTGAACCACCCACCAAGTCGAACACCACATTGGCCTAGAATAATATTGTTTTTCATTATCTTTGTACATGCATGTAATACGACTAATGACCTTTAATATTTAGGACATGATTATGATATTTCACATGTGTTTTGTACCAAGAAAATGCTATATAAATAATAAACAATATATTCCACTGGAAGTGACTGGATTAAGTTCCTTTACCTGACATTCTTTGCGCAGTACCAATTTAGCCTACAGTATGTTCATCCTGTAATTTGCATAATTTTCTAAGCGTTATTAAAAGTTTTGGCTCAAAGGACGCCTTAAACTATGAAAATCAGTGTTATATTAAAAAAAATCACAATAACCCGCTTTACATGATGAGTTTGATTTAGTGTATTGATTCAGTTTAGGTTCACTCCAGTGTGAACGACTCACTCGGCCACAACACCTTCACTTGCCAAATATCAGCAACTCGACGTGGCATTACTACTCACTCTTCCCGTTACCAATTATTATACTTATCTCACATGCCTTGAGGCTATCACTAAAATGAAAATAAAAATTATATTAAATTTTAAAATAATATAAAATATAATAAAACACACCGTGATTTCTAAGTTAGAATTCTGGTAAAATTAGTAACTGGCATCAGTGTATGCTTGTGATAAAGAGTACTAACAATTGTACTTGTATCTTTCCTCTATCTCTTTGTCTTTCTCATTGACAATTGTGAAATTTGTCAATATTTGCAATAAATTGTATTTTATTTGCAAATGCAAACAAGTGTAATCAAAAGTGCATACACTAATGACAAACACTCCTGTTTACCGAATATTTGTCCAGGAGAAATAAATAACTAGTTTAATATATAAATGAAGGTCAACGAAGACGAAATTTAGTGAAACTCGTTATGATTTGTTCACGAGGTCTTCCGTTTACTTAAATGGCTAAAATTTAATGTGAAAACTTTGTTAATGGCTCAAGGTCGGACACACTACCTTTCACCTTATGATTGATCTCAGCCAAACGGAGTTTTGTGGGAGAGAAAATAACTTATTCTACGCGTCATATTCAAAGGCCCATAACGTGCTGACATCTGGCGGTTTCAATGACAACTTTGCTTTTACTTTACTACAGGTATTATTTTGTTTTTTCAATTGAATAATTTCATCACTATGACCTTATCTGCCAGTTGGGATGAAACTAAACCATCCTCGCCACTCTCTCTTGCTAGTTGCTACCACGTACGTACGTAAAGTCCATACAAATCACTTTAAGAATAGCCCCATTCCAACCATTGTAAATATCATGGTCTAAAGATATCTTTATACCTTGGTAAATACCATCAATAACTCTGAGATAACTTTTGTGTTCACTCCTCGTCAATTTCACATTTGTATCGTAACCTTGCTGAAAATCTTTGTTAAATGACCCTCCCCCTGTCATTATATATCATACATATACAGTAGCTAAAACAACTATCTGTGCATACTTTGTGGGAAACACTGTGAGACCATGGACGATAAATATTGGTATATGAGGGATGTCACTAGTCTCACGTAATATTTCGGAGCATATCGACCCCCACCTGCACAGACAGTTGTAGCGTACCACTTATGGCATGTGTATACTTTCAGCGTGTGGGTGCTGTATTTATCAGTAAATAAACGTTCATTATTATAATTACACATGCACCCAGGAGCACTTCGGTACACATGCACCCAAGAGCACTTCGGTACACATGCACCCAATAGCACTTCGGTACACATGCACCCAAGAGCACTTCAGTACACGTGCACCCAACGCACTCTGGTACACATGCACCCAAGAGCACTTCGGTACACGTGCACCCAAGAGCACTTCGGTACACATGCACCCAAGAGCACTTCGGTACACATGCACCCAGGAGCACTTCGGTACACATGCACCCAAGAGCACTTCGGTACACGTGCACCCAAGAGCACTTGGGTACACGTGCACCCAAGTGCACTTCGGTACACATGCACCCAAGAGCATTTCGGTACACATGCACCCAAGAGTACTTCGGTACACGTGCACCCAAGAGCACCTCGGTACACGTGCACCCAATGCACTCTGTTACACATGCACCCGATAGCACTTCTGTACACAGGCACCCAAGAGCAATTCGGTACACGTGCACCCAAGAGCACCTCGGTACACGTGCACCCAAGAGCACTGGCACATGCACCAAGAGACCAGCACACGTGCACCCACGCACGGGGACACATGCACCCAAGAGCACTTCAATACACATGCACCCAAGAGCACTTCGGTGCACATGCACCCAAGAGCACTTCGGTACACATGCACCTAATGCACTGTGGCACACATGCACCGAAGAGCACTTCAATACACATGCACCGAAGAGCACTTCGGTATACATGCACCCAAGAGCACTTCGGTACACGTGCACCCGAGAGCCCTTCTGTACACGTGCACCCAAGAGGACTTCAGTACACATGCACCAAACAGAACTTCGGTATACATGCACCCAAGAGCACTTCGGTACACATGCACCTAATGCACTCTGGCACACATGCACCCAAGAGGACTTCAGTACACATGCACCAAAGAGCACTTTGGTACACATGCACCCAAGAGCACTTCAGTACACATGCACCCAGAGACTTTGGCACACATGCACCCGCGTGCACCCAAGAGCAATCTCGGTACACGTGCACCCAATAGCACTTCGGTGACACGTGCACCCAAGAGCACCTCGGTACACGTGCACCCAAGAGCACTTCGGTGCACATGCACCCAAGAGTATTTCGGTACACATGCACCCAAGAGCACTGCACACATGCACCCAAGAGCACTTCGGTACACGTGCCGCCAAGAGCACTTCGGTAATACGTGCACCAAGAGCACTTCTGGCACACGTGCACCCAAGAGCACTTCGGTACACATGCACCCAAGAGCACTTTGGTACACATGCACCAAGAGCACTTCGGTACACATGCACCCAAGAGCACTCTGGTACACATGCACCCAAGAGCACTTCGGTACACATGCACCCAGGAGCACTTCGGTACACGTGCACCCAAGAGCACTTCGGTACACGTGCACCCAAGAGCACTTCGGTACACTTTCACTCAAGAGCACTTTGGTACACATGCACCCATGTGCACTTCGGTACACATGCACCCAAGAGCGCTTTGGTACACATGCACCCAAGAGCACTTCGGCACACGTGCACCCAAGAGCACTTTCGTACACGTGCACCCAAGAGCACTTCGGTACACATGCACCCAAGAGCACTTCGTTACAAGTGCACCCAAGAGCACTTCGGTACACGTGCACCCAAGAGTACTTCGGTACACATGCAACCATGAGTATTTTGGTACACATGCACCCAAGATCACTTTGGTACACATGCACCCAAGAGTACCTCGGTACACGTGCACCAAATGCACTCTGATACACATGCACCCAAGAACACTTCGGTACACATGCACCCAAGAGCATTTCGGTACACATGTACCCAAGAGCACTTCGGTACACATGCACCCAAGAGTACTTCGGTACAGGTGCAACCAAGAGCACCTCGGTACACGTGCACCCAATGCACTCTGGTACACATGCACCCAAGAGCACTTCGGTATACATGCACCCAAGAGCACTTCGGTACACGTTCGATCAAGAGCACTTCGGTACACGTGCACCCAAGAGCACTTCGGTACACATGCACCCAAGAGCACTTCGGTACACATGCACCCAAGAGCACTTCGGTACACGTGCCGCCAAGAGCACGTCGGTACACGTGCACCCAAGAGCACTTCGGTGCACATGCACCCAAGAGTATTTCGGTACACATGCACGCAAGAGCACTTCGGTACACATGCACCCAAGAGCATTTCGGTACACATGCACCCAAGAGTATTTCGGTACACATGCATCCAAGAGCACTTCGGTACACATGCATCCAAGAGCACTTCGGTACACATGCACCAAAAAATTCCCTAGATTTTCCAAAAAATTCCCTAGATTTTTCAGAAATTTCCCCAGATTTTCCAAAAATTTCCCCAGATTTTTCAAAAATTTCCCAAGATTTTCCAAAATTTTTGGTAATATCAACATTTATGGTTTCACTGCTTAACCTGGGATTTCCATCTGTTAGTTAATCCCTCAATCAAGATACAATAATACTTAGGCCCGTGTAACTGTGAGGAGTGCCTCAGGGTATATATCCCAAGTGTCTCCATAACAAATGAAGATCGCTGTCAGGGGGTCGGTTGTAGACCGACACACGCCAAGGGAGCTGCCGCCTAAGTTGCAGGAAAAGGACTTCCCAGTTTAATCCTGTCGAATTAACGGCATCGTCCAACTCGGCTACCGACCCACGGTAGCCGATGAGTATTCAGCTCAACACACTGGCCTGGAGATACGTTGAGGAAGAGTCACGAATGCTCAATAATTAACTTCAACTATACAAAACATACGTCTGGCAACGGTCCAGCCGATATCTAAATCTCTACGTTACTCGACTTAATTGGCACAGAAGTCACTATGTTAAAACATGAACACTGATATTCACAAAATTGACTAAGTTAAACTGAATTACTAGGCGGCGGGGAACACATGTGAACATACCTGGAGATACGTTGAGGAAGAGTCACGAATGCGTGATTCTCCCTTGTGTAGAGGTATATACGTGCACCTGCTGGGCAGCTTGGGCCTCCATATCCATGCCAGAAAGGTCGATCTTACCAACAACATACCTTCTCTACCATTTTGGATCACCGTATACTTAATTGTGAACTCCGGTGTTCCTGATCAGGGTAATTTCCTATGTCTATTCATATAATCTAATCAGAGGTTGAGCTTGCCAGGAAAAGGTGGAATATACACGTTGATAACATCAATTCTGCAAGCTCAGGCCTGCGGCGAACAAGGAGCTATTCACAGGGAGACGTTAGATCTTGGAGATTATACCAGTTGACAGAATAATTCAGGAAATTAATGACTTTCTTAAATAGACAACTGACTCTAACTAAACTACAAACATCAGATTCTCTGATGTCGGGGCGACAAAATAACATAACTTCAGTAGCGATCAGAAACTCATGGGTATTCTTAGGGAACAAAACCGGTGGGTAGTGTTTGTCCTGGCAGACTCAACACTCACTTATTTGACACGTCTTATTAACAATAAGGGCAGTTGAAGCATTCAACACCACTCACAATGGATCTTGAATGTTTCAACTGCAAACAGACATATCTAAGCTGACTCAAAACCAGGGTGTTCTCTCTCACATTCAAATTCATTTTATAGAGAGGTTGGTTTCAGTAAGTCAGAGAAAATGGGATAACGGAGGACTGAGGCGTCTTGAAGTGATGAGAAAACGGACTCCTCAGATGGAGGACTCAAAATAAGCAGAGGTACATGTTTTGTGGGCTATTGAGCGTAATATGAATCATTTGATTTTGGCGTTAACTGACGTGTACGACCGTGGTCGTTACAGCGGCATCTCTGATAATACTCTCAAGTACTTTACATATTATGCTGGTCAGGCTCACTGGTCTATAGTTGTTCGTGGAGTGACGATCGCCCTTCTTGAAGATAGGACTCACATAAGCCACTCTCCATTCACTGGGGACAATTTGTTCATCCAGGCATTTACAAAACAGGACCTTCAGGGGCTCTGCAAGCTCGTTGCTCAACTCTCTTAGCACTCTAGGATGTACCATGTCAGGTCCGGGACTCTTATGTGCAATGTTGGCGAACAGGACAGCAGATTGACAGGGTAGACAAACTCCATGCAAATAAAATGTAAATATATATTAAGTAAATAACGGGTTCTAACTATCAGTCAGGCTCCCGAGCTTTCTGCCTACATGTTGACCACTCACATCTCTCCACTAATGTAACGGTTTGTGAACTAGCAGAGTTCCTCCTATGGCCCTCTCCGTTCTCTCTCATCATTAAATGTATTCGTTTTCTCAAATATTTTCTAAAAATCTAACCTTACCCCTATAATGTTTAGTTACATTATGTATTCTCTTTTTAATTATTTTTTATTTATATCAATGATCATTTCACCATTTATTAGCTTCCTAGCAGTCCGAGCGATTGGTGTGTTCTTTGTTATTTTGTCATGCAGGAGGAAACCTGAGAATATCTGCTATGTTTGGCAGGGTTACTAGTGTATTACATATATGAAATTTACCTCAGGTGCCCTAGACTGTACAGAATGAGGATTGATATAGTTTTATATACATTTCCCCCTACCAAATACTCTCTGGTGATTTTACGAAAGAGAATGAAAGCGTATGAGAAACTACAATATATTGGTTAATAAACTTATCAATGTGCTTTTATAGCTTGCCGTCTATATCTTTAGTCTAACCTAACCTAACCCGACCTAACCTAACCTATCTTGACCTAACCTAACCTAACCATACTAAATATCTTGTAGGCCGCACGCTATAGTAGCACCAGTGACAGTTTAGAAACGTTAGAACTTATCCCAATAGATATTCCGGATATTGTAACATTATCGCTAGGATTCTTTTTAGGTTGGAATCAATTTTCATCTATGGCGTTTCCAGCTCAAATCTATAATTTTCGGGTATTTTAACCGATGAAATTACCAACAACATTATGTAGTTGTTCAAAATGGACAGGGCTTTGACGCATATATATATATATATATATATATATATATATATATATATATATATATATATATATATATATATATATATATATATATATATATATATATATATATATATATATATATATATGTCTCCAAACTGAACACATATTTGGTGGGTAGGTGCTCAAAGCCAAGGTACTCCAAACCACCCGATTTAGTACCTATTTTTTTAGCTAAATGGCTTGATACATAGGCTCGACTCCTTCGCCCAGAAAAGAGAAAGGTAACAGAAATAAGTAACCTTTAAGGTATACATGTACGTATGCTTATATGTGTGTTGTGCGCGTGTTTGGTGCGCGTATGAGTGTGCGTATATTTTTTTTAGAAAATCGGATAGTAATGTATAAATTCCTTTGAAAGATGACGAAACACAGATTCGAAATATATTTTTTGTTGGCAACCATAGTATCTTTGTTTCCTTTCCTTTTGTCCTGCAAATTCCTCAAGCGATAAGTCCATGAAATGGCGGCAACACTCGGCTGTTCCCAGTTCTCAGCCTCCTCCCCCTACCTCACTTACAACTATAAGAAAGTCACGTATTTATAGCAATAAATTTGTTTGTTTTAATAATTCGATAACTCCTAATATATTATATATAATAATAGAACAATATTTAGTTTGTACTACAGACTTTTATTATATTAATATTTACGACAAATATTGCTAAATATTGTTGTATATCTTCTAGTCATGAAATCTAGAAATATGTAAAGCATTTGTTTTTATGGGTTGTATTTTATAAAAGTTTTTTATTTTCATAATTTTTCCTTCAGAATAATAAGAGATAACTGTACAATATGGCATATCATCAATAGCAGGCTAATTTATACATTCACATGTTGGCATGGTCTATCACTGGAAGTAAGTGAATTATTATTCTACAGAATTCTATATATGAACTAATATTGAATATATGCATATTTACAGCCTATAAACGTAAATGAAATTGCGCGCTGTACATAAATTATTGGGTGTGAATATCAGTCTAGCAGGGGTTGGTTGGTGAAGCGCCTCTGGCAACACTGTGCTATTAAACGTATGGATGTCAGCGTCAGCGCAGACTAACAACTCAACACTATTTATAAACAACTCGTCTATAACAGGTAAGATATTGTACTTCAGTTTTACTCCTTAGTTTACCTAGATTGTGGATAGTAAAGATAGAGAGTCAAACAATGTGTCATAAGTAATGTAGAGCAAAATTTGTGGTAGCGTCAAGATTTTCAAGGTGGCGTCAGAGGAGCTGCTGCGTTAGGGCTCTCAATAGAGTGCGCATGCATGTAGTACCAAGGAATATAATAAATGCATTTTACCATGAACTATCATATACCTACACAAACACATTGTGCTAATGTAAATTATGTTATTTAAATTCTTTTGTAAATTACCGAGGGTAGTAAATTTTCGGTGTTCATTCTTGGTCGGCGTCACGGACTGTGAGGGTCCTCGGCCAAGATGAAGGCGCTGTCCTCTTACAACAGTCACTCGCTCACCCAACACTCTCTATTTATCTTTATGATGAATAATAACAATGACTTTAGGGTAAATAATAATAAAACTATTGGTTCTCTCACCATTTAGGGATTCTGTAGCTTTTAATGATGATGATAATAAAAAATTCAGTCAATTTGAGGTTTCAGGTTAATGCCCTCATCCTAAACTAGGAAGTGTAATAAGTGAAATTCCTTAAACTGATGCCGATGATGAATTTTGATATGTATTAGAGTTGCAAAACTGCTCTATTGACTCTTTGGCTGCTGAGATAGACACACTAGGACTGCTGTTTGGTACTCAGGAAATCAATACAGTATTTGTTTCTTGGGCTGTGGATATTTTCTCATGAAGCATTAAGTGCATGAGTAACGCTACACCTAGAGCTACAGAGATATTGCTTTAGCAGTATACTTTGTGTTCATATTCTGCTTGTGAATTGTTATTGAAATATTGAACATAATCACTATGCTTACAATGTCTTAAATGCTGTTCAGACTTAAAAATATAAACCAATTAAATTGCTATAAGAACGATCAAATGGTAAAAAATAATTATTAAGCCTAATGCTTCCCACTCACTTCTACTTTTTTGCCTTGGTATCTTAACAGTTTTATAAATAATTAACTTTGTACATAAGAACATAAGAATGGAGGAAACTGCAGCGGGCCTATCAATTTAACCTTGTGATACAGCAGTGCTATCAGATCACACTAAGACTATTTTAATACCAATGGTTTTGCAAGTGTTGCCTAATGACTTAAAAAAAATTCAGCTGAGGAAAATAGAATAGATTATATTTTTGGTAAAGATTAACCCTTTCAGCTGTGTGTTATGTATTTCATGTTGTGTCCAGGATAATGAGTTTTAGAAGTATTTCAAAATCCTTGGCTTCATGAAGTTACAAAAGACTGCCCCTAATACTGTACTGTACTTTAAAATTGTGATTCAGCTTCAACTAAGACCTGAGTTATTTTCAGGGACAGGGAGGGCATACCAGGTAATCCTTACCACCCCCCCCCCCCTCCTCGAAGAGTTTACATACACACTGAGGCTTGTTGGATTTTTTCAATCACAGCATTATGTTTTAAATGGATGCTGTAGGCTCCCATAGAGGCCATAATCTTGTTAATGGCTTTGGATTGTGGCATAGGTAATTTAAACAATATTTCTTAATACTGGAATTGAACCCATAAGTCCAGGTACTTAATATTGGTACAGTGCTGTACTGTCTGCTCAGGGGGTTAAAGAAAGGGTTGCCACAATTTTCAAAATTTTTATTTTTTATTGGTTCTGTAGTTATTGTCTGTGTATATGATTTTGTCAGTGGCCATGGAGATAAACCATTTATGAAAGTAATCAACACAGGCCAAACACATGATTGTTTTTGTTCAATATACTGTCATTCCTGAAGCCTCTGGTACAGTGGTTCCCAATTAGGGGTAAATTATCCCTGTGGGTTATTTGTCATTTTTGGGGTAATGATCGGTGTACCTTTCGTAATTCTATCAGCAATCACGGCGTTGACAGTGGCCTTGACAAAAAATCATGAACAAATAGATTTTAAAACGTGCTGTACAAGGAGGGATTAATGGGTACAGTATTACAAATGATTCAAGGATTGGGCAGGTTTGCACCTTAAGGGGAAAGATGACCTTGTTTATTAAATCCCCTGGGCTTGTTAAATGAGGAATGGAGTAGTCTAGTTACCCAGTTCGAAGCCACCCAGCAATGGCCACCCGAGCGAACAGTATTTCAGGATCAGTCCTGCACTAATGGCTTTGATAAATATATATGTACTGTACAGTGCCTGTACATGTATAATCTTTTGACTTGGGGAAAAATATACCAGCCATCAACTTGGTCCTGATCATAATTATACTCTAATGTAGAACTCACGCTCTTTCTTGTGAGAATTGATGTGCTTTTAGCTGACTCTTATTACAGTCTTGTATTGTACTGCATTTTATTTTATCCGATTATTTTGTATTTTGAATATTGTACCTATTTAGGACAACTTTATAAGACCTTTTTGTGAATTATTTTAAAAGTGCAATATCCCTGGAATGCTTGAATTAAATGTTGAGATAATATTATATATTATTTTTCTATTTCACTTGAAAATTTGTCATAACAGCACTTCTTTTTTCCAAGTCATTGTTTTAAGTCTTAGATATACTACAGATATATTGACATTTGTGACTAGGAAATTTGCTACATTTATCAGTACTGTAGTTCTTATGCAGTATAATGTATACTGTAATTCATCTTTAGGTAAATGTACTATGATGTAATTTTTTAATGTTTCAGATGAGAAAAGTGTTTCAACATGGGTGATGGATTGTTATCATTGTCATGGAATAACCACAAAGCCACTTTCTGTCACATTCTGTCAACACTTAGAGAAAAGGTAAATAATAATTAGTGGGTATAATAATGCTCAACAAGTCTCTATCTTTGTCTTATATGAAATTAATGTCCCAAATAAAAGAAAGTGATGAAATGTAATACAGGTTATAAGTTATAACCAACCCTCCTGAATTTCACTTTGAATACTGTATATATTTAGTACTCTTTTGTCTGCAATATGTTGGGTCATGCACAATCCTCTGTATATAGTTACTAGGACCTATTTAATTATTGAAAACATTCCTCCATTTGTAGATATAGTAAAGTCCACCATAGTCACTAACTGAAGGCTTTCTTATCACGTAAAAGACAAAGATTGCTTCCTGGCCTTTAGTAGCTGGTTTGATTACAAGGCTTAAGTCCTAGTGTATAAGGATGTGGTTTAGAATATGGAATGTGTTTATTATCATCCTTTAGAAAGATTGGGGCAGGGAGGACAAAGCAATATGTTTCACAGATTGGTATTCTTTACATAAACTTTTGACTTCCTTTGACTAAATTTTCATATCTGGTCAACCAAGCCTTAGAATAGTCACCAATATTTTAGTTAACATCATTCAAAGGTCACAGAAGAAGGTAACTTTACAACTCGTGTGACTACAGTGTTCATCTGGTAATACTGTAATGAAATTTTCTCTTTCGGTCAACCAAGTTTTAGAGTGGGTAAAGAAGTTCCTTTAAGCATTGGAAAAATGGCTTGGTCTGGGCTGATTGATGAAGCATCCATATTATTGGCTGATGAAAGAGATCACTTTTTTACATATTTTATTATTTGTATGCAGTACAGTATTTTTGTAATTTTTATTACCACATCTTTTGCAGTATACAATATATACACTGTTAAATTAGTTTCATTTTTCATATTTTTGGACTAACAGTGATGTTTCACAGAAGTTTTATTGTTAGAACTTACCATGTATAAATTGAGGGGTTATTGTATCCCATATAGGAGCTTATGAAATATTTTACTTTCACCCCTTTCAGTACAGTTTGTCAAACAGCTGTAAGAATGTCATGAAATTGTTACACAGCACAATTACCCCCCAAAAATTTAAGGGAAGCTAATGCCTGGCAATACACAGCTAGAAAGTGAGCAGTTTATTATGTCCTTTAGATATAATCTTAAACTTATTTTAGCGACGTATATTTCAAATTTATTAATTTAATTTTTTTTATTTTTTACACAGGAGAGATACACAGATGTGACCCTGGCATGTGAGGGAAAGTTTTATCCAGTACACAAACTGGTGCTATCAACGTGTAGCGAATACTTTGAAAGTATGTTTGAACAAACACCATGTAAACATCCCGTTGTAGTTTTGAAAGATGTTAAACCCGAAGAGTTAGAAGCTCTTCTCAGCTATATGTATGCTGGTGTAGTTAATGTGGCCCAGAATGACCTGGCTAGATTAATCAAAGTTGCCGAGTTACTCCAAGTAAAAGGCTTGGCTGTACCGGATGAACCACCTCAGGAAGTTGAAACCAAGAAAACATACACACCTCCCCGGAGTTCAAATTCCCGCGATGATAGAACGAGTCCTCATCCCAAAAGAAGAAGAAGAGACGACAGTACAACACCTGTTTCGGAAACACACGTCTCCAACAGTCCTACTTCTCCAAAAATGTCACCACACCATATAGATAGTGATTATAACCAAGAGAACTCTAGAACACCTAGTGAGAGTCATGTTAGTGAACACAGAGTGGAAAAATCTAATGAAAGAACTGAACAAAGACATGAAGTAGGGTCAGATCAGAAAGTTGAGTGCACATCTAAACACGGATCCCCTCTCCAGGTTGGTTTATATAATGTCTCATTTGTTCCTAGAACAGTAGTAGTGTATTGAACTCATACTGTATTCTTTTATGAAATCAAATTTCTGGAGCGAACCATGTTTACTACTATTGGCATTTAGGGGCGACTGACATTCGGAATATTGTGTACATTCAGTCTTTCGGTTGTTTAAGGTCAGCAGAAAGTCTAAAGACATTTATTGACAAATTCTGTGGCATTTTTGCAGAAACAAAATGCTTTTTCCCATGAGCATTAATTTTTTATGCATAACAGTTACCAGTAATAGTCCCCATTTATATAACAGGGCCAGTGAAAATTATTAGTGACTTATAGAAGGGAAGTTTGTGTATTTATTATATTTTTTACTTCTTAAAGTTTGGAATGAGCCATGGTTAATATTGATGACTGACCTGCAGGCGAGTTAATTGATTTACTGTTTATTTTCTTACTTTATTTTCATAATTTCTTGTGCAAATGCTTCGTTTGGTAGATAATTAGGCTTCTAGGTGCGCACTACTTTGTCTTCTAGGCGGTAATGCACCAGTGACGTCTCATCCCAGGATGTATACAACCAATCATATTGATGTATTTCAAAACACTCCGCTGCCTGGGCTTGATCAACACTGATGCTCAGTGTAAGCTTAAGAACCGTTCAGTTTGGACAGCTGCTCTCACATCCATAAAAAAATTTAAATTACACCATATCATAGTAAGTTCTTCCAGTTTAATATACCGGGGGGACCAGGGGGCTTGGCTAGGAGTTAGGTAAGATTAGGTAGGTTGGTGAGGTCTTCTAACAGGGCTTCTGCTGTTTATTTTTCATATTAACTAATTTAGAAATAACTACATTTTAACGCATTTGCACAAATTATGACAGTGTCCACTATACAACACAGTGAAATTGTGGCGTTTTTATAATCGTTTTCTGTGAAAAATCGGCTGTGGGTCAATCATCAATAATTACCAAAAATTCTTACTAGAACACCCCTAAACAAAGCCTGCCTTGTAAAGGGGGCTATCTGCATTCTAGGCTGGGCACACTTTTCTCTCAGATGATTGTAACTTGTTGCAGGGCAACAATGTTTATGAAGGAAGACAAACCCAGTCTAACTGTTACTTCAAAATCCAGTGAGCCATTGGGTACCCTAGACCAGTCCAGAAAGTACATCAAATTCTCTCCTGGTGGGTTTCATTTTTTATAATAAATTGTGAAATAGTCAAGCAGGAAACTTGCATTCATTGTGACTAAGGTATACTTGCTGTAGGGTTCATGTGTACCTTGTGGCTCATTGCCTTTTGAAGAAACCACTAGACTATTCCAAGATTAAAACTCATCACAAACCCTGAGCCAATCAGGCAAGTAGCTTTGCAACAATTTACACTGGTCCAGCAGAACTCTTCCTAATTTAGAACACAAATATTGCCTTGGGTAAGGTGTGTTCTGTCAATGGGTGTGCTAGTGGAGGAAATTGAGTACTATTTAACTAATGCCTCGGTAGCAGATTTTGTTTCTCAGCATTGATCATTTGTCTTGTTTTTCATTACATTTACCAGGGGTGGGGGGGGGTGCTCATTTTGTTAAATGTACTCCTCTTGTACTCGGAGATTTTAGTGGAATAGTAGATTTGCATATATTGATGTGGGTCACTTTGAATAACATTTTCATCCTTTGAACCTTTAATGTCTTTGGAATTTGACCCATTTTTATCAGGATGTTGGGTAAAGGCTTCTTACTGTGCTAGTTGAATGTTGTAATTAGGGTCTTGTCAGAGGATAAATGTTCAACATCTGCCATATATGGAACTTAACACAGACAAAAGTTTATAAAGCTTAAAAATCTCTAATAATTTTTCTACCTGTAATTTTTATATTTGAGGTTTAATTATTATCCATGTACACTGAAAAACAATAAAGGTGAATTATGAAGATAACGTTAATTTTCAGGTAATGTTAGATGAAGTACTAGTCAAAGAGGAGATGGTGGAATCCTTAGATGACAGTCGAGATAATTTGTTAGACTCTGGGATGGATTATGGTTCGTTAAGTGGTGATTCAAGAATAGAAAACTCAACCACTGATGGGGGACCTCAAGACCATCACAGTCAAATGTTGCCAAATAAGTACGACCAATCTCTTGTTTCCCAACCACACCTCCCAGAGGCGGTCGTTGAAGCTCTCGCTGGACCCTCCGGGATGCAAGGGGTAAGTCATGTTTTACAGATTGTGGTTTTTCTTTAAGTACTTAAATATATGAGCTTTTTGCTATGTATTATTTGGTAACTCGAGAACATACGTACTAGATAATTTTTATTTTATTTGAAGTATTTACTGATACTTATTATTTTTTACTGTGCCCCCAATTTACTTGCAGGGCAGCATACTGGGTGTGTGTACTTCTGTCCCAACCTGTATTATTAGGAAGATTGCACAAATGGTTTTCAGTGTAGGACAAAACAAATTTTAGTGAAGTTCTTGTAGGAAATTTTGGAGTGAAGTGAAACCCAAACCTTCTCCAGTTCAAAGCTGCTTTTTCTGGTGGCTGGGCACAGTAAGAATTCTCTTTTTCACATCAGCTGATAAGCAATGATAGCTTCCCTTTCTTTTGTGGTAGAATTGTCCTTAATTGTACTACCACTCCTTTGATAAATTCAGATGTTGAATTGCCATATTTTTTAATTTTATATGTGCATACACCACTTAGTATGCTTCCATCATAGAATATTGCAGGATGTTTAAGATATTACCCTGTCTATCCTAACCTTCATACAATTTTTTTTTTCCATCAAAATCTTTAGACATGCTTGGCAGGACGAGATGAAATTTAGACTACAGTTTAATTTCCTTCATACGTATCTGCTGATTTTAATAATCATCATTCCTTAATTTATTAACTTGGGGGGGGGAGCTCGTTCTACTTCAAAATAAGTGTATATTGGTGGGACATAAAACACTGTTACTGCTGATCTAGTTTATCTTGGTGTTCTGGTCTGCCAGTGGTGAATATAGGAATGGGAGTTGTCTATGTACATACAATAAATATATAAACAGATCATGGCTAATAATCTATTCCCAATTATTGTTAATTCAGCAGTGTTGTCTTGTACTATGTTGTAGTGGGGGACTTGGCCACATTTAATGTTAAACTCATGTTTTTTTAAAGAAAATATTATTCAGGTCAAGTTATACTAACTTGATGAATATTAGAAATCTCATAGAAAAGCAAATACTCAACATGTTAAGTAAAAGGAGAATCCTACGTCTTAAAAACTTTTAATTTTTCATTTTACCAGTGGCTTGGTGGGAATGATCTGAGTGGAGGGTTCTCAGGAGTGGAGAGTTACAGTGGGGAGGGGAGACATCAGGACTTACGTCAACCTCTCCCCGGCCAGCAGCCTCAGGGACACCAGCTGGTGAGTGTTGTTGTCCAATTCTTACAGAAAAGGAGCCATTACATAACTTGTGTTCCCATGCATTATTGTTGTTGTTTGTTTGTTTTGTTTATTTATTTCTAATTTATCTTTTACTTTTCTTTCTTTTTTTTTATTTACTATATCTATGAAAACAAAATTCAATAATACCACCTTTGGCGGCTTTGCAAGTTTTGTATTACAGTTCCACTGTGGTACCTTTTAAACTACAGGTAGTAGTAGATATAACAAAGTCGTGTTTTCATCGACCGAGCTTTATTGAGTATTCGAAAATTACCATATTATTGTTGCTGGACCTATAAATCAAGTATCAGACATTCCTCAAGGGCTGTTTCACATTATTAATGGATAGATGTTAGGCTTACTCTGTGCTGCTCTTAGTATCTTAAGTAGTTAAAGTGAAGGTGCATTTTATTGCAAATATTTTGGTGGCAAGGCCAAACAAAAATGATGCACCCTTAGTTGTGATAGAATGGATAATAATTGTCAGTTGGTGAGGATTTTTTTAAAATAACTTTAACAGTTCAGGTCATAGGATATTGAAATTATTTCTCTAAGAATTTCCTCACTTCTAAAGGTTTTGGAAGTTTAGGTTCTCATAAAAATGCACAGGTCAATTTTTTTTTTTTATTCGGATAAAGTTTTAAGTTTAGTAATACAGATTACGGTCAGGTGGATCGCTTGAACCAAGCTTTTTTTGTCCAGCACAACTTAAATGATCTTGCATTTATCTCGGTATTAGTTGTACAGCGGATGTGACAAAATTGATGTGTTCAACCAGCCCCTACTTAACTAAACTTTAATTGATTATATCATTTCAGTTACCAAATGAACCAAAATGCATCAGTGTTATTAACCCGGGTGTTCCATAAGGATTTTTTTCACAATTTGCAAATTATTTTGATAAGTTAATATTAAAATTGAACATTTTGAACAAATAGCAAAAGGAGTAGTAAGTGCTTAAAGAATGGATCACTTAGAGCAGTGTTGGGTGTACTTTAGGACTCCTGTACTAATTAAGACTTAAACCTGGTTATGAAATCTAACTATTGAGTAAATCCACACATGTACTAGTCCACCCTTGGTACTTTATAGGATAAATTGATATGCCATACAATATTGGCAGCAATCATAGAAGTTGACTGCCAGTAGCTGTAGATGCCGTGTGGTGTTGTTTCTTTGGAAACACAGTAGGTATATTGCAATGGACATGATAAAAATTGGAGAAATATTGGTACTTTTTGTTTTTTATCAATCACACAAGCTTTTAATCTGTTATAATGTAGAGTGTTAATGAGCAGGTGCTGATTTTTTAATTCTACGCATTCTGTACTTGGTGAGTTACCCCACCCCTTTGGCAGGATGATAATCCACTGAAGGGTTGTTCCACCATAGGCAAGTACACCTTACAATGAACTCATTTGTTAGTGAGGGCACAGGGAAGAAACTTGGTTCTCCTCCACTCTGGTTGGGAATCGAACCCATGACTATTAACTTAAGGTAAATGCTCTCTTAGCTGAGGTACAGTAACAGTACTGTACTGCTTGTAAATTTGTTCACTCTTCTGATTCAGCTGTATTTGGAAATATTTTAACATTATTAATGATAGTGATTTTGTGGACTTTTATGACATAAAAATGTCTATTATGTGCTCAGGATCAACAGCATTGAGGATTTTAAGAATATTTTGCAAATTTTATCAGAGGAATACAAAGTTGTTAAACCTAGTTAAGGTATATACATTTTTATGAATGTATACTGTAGTACAATACAGTACTAAGAATATATTCCTTACCAAGGGATGTATACCTTGATAGGGTATATACTTTGAGAATATATACCTTTCAAAGAATTATACCTAACTAAATGTATATATGTAAGATAACCTCACCAAGAAACATACCTTATATACTTAAACAAATATATAAATATACCTTACTAAGAATACATAATTTATGTAATCAAGGAAAGGTAACCTATTGGTATTGAAGGGAATATATGGAGTGCATGATGTTAATGATTACACAACTTTTAAACAGTATTACAAGTTACTGAAGGGAGTAAAAAAAAAACTTGTGTCCTTAATTGTTTTTAATTTGGTTAAGATGGAGTTTTAAAATATTATTGTGTATTACAGACATTGTGAGTATTTGTTGAGGAATACTGTTCAAAATATTGTTGTTGGAATAAGTTGGCAAGAAAACATTGTGTCATCTGTTTATGAATAACATTGTTTATCAGAGAATACTTTATTTTAAACAAGAAACAGCAAACAAATAGTTTTACCATATGTGGCTCTTATTGTTATTCTGTATAACTAGTGAAGAGGATAACAACACAGAACTGATGCAAAAAATCCATGATCTCCAGCCACTGGAAATAGAGAGAACTTTTACCAAAGGCAATACAGTATTCTCAAATGGACTGGCATTGTTTGTAGAGCTTGTTGTGTCAAATGATCCTTAGTTTAATCCAACTACAGTCATAATAGATTGGTAACCCTAGAGGACTTTATGGATAAAAAATTACCGCAAAGATGGAGCCTGTGAGTTTTACCTTTTCTTTGAATGAATTTTGATATGAGAGGCAAGGGCAAGTGTGGCTGTTTGAAGATTTTTCTGGGTGTACTGTTATTGTGTTCGAAAGTTCATAAATTGGTATTTAAAAGTTGATTATAGACAATTTAGTTGATTTTTTGGTGATGTCTGTTGAATTGGGTTTGAGTTAAAACTCACCATATTTGAACTGTGGAGTTGAGTCACTGTATTCATTATGGATTCGGGTTTGTGGTGAATAATCCTATTACACGAAATATTGGTTTATTCAATAGTAGGCAAAATTGGGACTTCAAATTGTAGTAGATAAAATTATGATGTTTGGCTCAACAGTGTCTTATGTCAGCCTCTTGCAAGAAATAGTGTTGCTTCATTTTTGGGATTAACAGCTACTTTTTGGGGGTGTTCATCTAGCAGGACATCCCATCCACTGAATCCTGTTATTTTATTTTATTAATTTTAAATATAGTGATTGTAAACCTAAATATAAACTATTAAGAAATACTTTAATATATATAAAAGCCTAATGCAGAGCTTTTGATTATCGTAACCTGTTCATCTTCGTAAGTGATCATGCATGATGCACTTGTAATTTTAGCTGTAAGTTTTGAGAAGCATTTGACTATAACCATTGTTATTATCAACTTTGAAAGGAATATATGAAATGCAATAGGAATGGTGTGGGAGGGAGTCATGGGCCAATCTTTTGGGGTGGTGATGGAGGTTAGGGCGTCGGTCAGTTACTGTTGTACACTGAAGAAATTTGTATAGTATTGAATGTCAAATTGAAATAAATTGTGAATGAGGGAATGTGTGGTGTTGGTCAAGAAGCTTAGTTGAAGTACAAGAAGTTTGTTAGAAGGTCATTATGAAATGAGTGACAGCTGCTGTCAAGAGATATTTTTCAAGTGATATTAGTGAAGCTTAATTGACATCTAGTAGTGAAACAAAGAACACTTGAGAATGTTGTACAGTAGTTGGTACAATTAATGATATGTCAATGAGCCAAAATTAGCTGCTATATTCTTGAGTTCACAAGTACAGTAGACTATTACTTCATGCATTACAAAAATTTTTAGTTGTGATGATAAGTGTTTGTATTAAACCTGTACAGTACTACAGATTGTAATTTCAATTATTTTATTTTGTTGGATTCTGTTTGGCATGACTTGATGCCTTCTCCTTTTATGAGGGAGGCTTTTACTTCTGTTCAACTCTGAACCCTCATATATAACAAGTTCACTTATGGATGAGGCCTCCTTCAGTACTGGGTGGGGAAGTGGGTCATAAAGTACTACAGTGGACCAGGCCATGTATGTAACATAAGCTAGCATGGTTGACCAAGCAATCACCCACCCAAATACTACCGTATATATATTTGCAACAAAGCTAAAGTTCACCAGCTGAGGGACTAAGGCCTAAGGAATGTGTGCTGGCTAAGGTAAGAAAGGAAAACAATTGTAGAGAACACATTACAGGTATTAGCAATTTTAGAATTAGTTTTTTCTATTGACTTATATGCTTGGGAACACAAGATTTTTTATTTGTGAAATCATATTTTTTATAATGTATTTTGTAGATAACATTATGTATTTTGCCAAAAATAAAAATTACTGCCCATTGTTTAAGAAACAGACGTGGTACATATCAAAGAAGGTTGTTAGCTTTTGTAATCTTTGACTGGAGTTTGTCTCTTGAAAATTTTAGAAGAAAACTCATACTGTATATGGAAAGTTTAAAGCACAGTACTTTTATCACATATTACCACCTGGCAACTTGTTCCTATATATAAATACTCCCACTTGTTTGCAGTCTTGTTGGACAGCGTTTATTTTTCTTGATATCATAAGTTGACAAAAGTTGGTTTCTTTGAGTCTTGGTAAATATTTTGTTGAAGTAATCTATGATCACTGAGTTATTTATGCTAAGCGTCTCTTATAAGTAAAGTTATTGATTACCCAAAACAAAATGTGGTATGAATTGTATATGTATTGAGTTACAGTTTACTTGAGCTATGTAAAACTAAACCATTTCTTTAAATATAGTTAATTACTTTGGGAGGTGTTCATGTAAGGTCATTAATTCTATAGAAAAAAAATTTGATTGCATTGTTATGAGGATTTTATGTCCTTGCCATAGAGTATGAAGGGGTGTTAGGGCTACCCGGCCATCCATCTCTGTGAAAATTGTTTCCATTCAATAACAAGAGAAAGAATTCTCGGATTAAATGAAATTTGTTGTGTATTGTTATATACAGAATTCCTTCGCAAAAGCAATTTGCATTTTGCAGCTTTTATTACTAGAGTTGTTACCCCAGTTTGACTTGACAGGTTTGTTGGAGTATATATATATATCATATTACCTTTGTATTAATCTATTCGTCTTACTTGAAATTGCAAATTTTATTATGATGAAGTTTCTTTTTGG